TACTGGCTCTTTGGTGAATGTGTTCATTTGTGCTTGCGTTTGCTATTCTATTTTTTGCATTTACGCTTGCCTTTGACTACTCCGCCTTGCATCCCTTGATTTTGTGCGAAGACACAAACTTGCGCTGCAAAGATTACACCAACACAGAGAAGAACAGCCAGGAGAAAGCGAGCTACCGCCAGAAGGCTTTGGTTTTTGCACAAAACAAAGGCCATCGCTTTGTCACGCAAGAGACTGGCCAAATTGCGGAACACCTTGTACCATCATCACTCCAAGGATTGGACATTCCTTGCCCGTATCGCCAAGGAAATGGAGACTACCAAGGTGGAACCTTGGAAGTGTGCAACCTGCAAGAGACTTTGCAGCGGCTCCCACACCTTCTGTGGAAGCTGTGGACAAGATTGGAGGGATTGCTACGACCCTCAATTCATCCCACAACGACGGGACCACAGTCAGAGAAGAGTACAGTGGAACTACAACCAGTCCAACTGGGAAGGGCAGAATATGGATGCTGCTCAATGGATTCAACCCCCTCGTCGCAAGAATTCTCCGAGACAAAGATCCAGGAGACAGGGTGGAAGAAGTACTCCCTCCAAGGGAAAAGGCAAAGGAAAGGCAATGGAAGAGTCACAGCAGTATGGGCCACCATCCTTACCTGCCAATTCCAACTTGGAGCCACCATGGATGAACCCCTCCATTGTGCCAGTTCTGGCTGTACCGTCACCGACCACTGCGACTGGAGACACCAGTTCCGACAAAGAGAAGGACAAGCAAATTCGTTCTCTGGTTGCGGCATTGAAGAAGCACAAAGAAGAGTTACCGGAAGACGTTCAGCAGCTCATGAAGGAGGTGAACGTCAGGACCGGACAGGAGGAAACCAAACTTTTGCATTCAGCTGTATCACAGCACGGAAGAGCCAAGAAAGCAGTGCAAGAAGCGCAATCTGCAAGGTTGCAAATGCATACCGCTTGGCGCAACTTCTTGTCCCAATCAGCCCAGCAATGGAAGAACTACGCAGCACAATTCATGGAGCAGGAGCGTCTCTTGACAGAGAGGTTGCAAGCTGCCAGAGACGACCTCACAGCGGCCAAGGAAAACTTGGGCAGCTGCAAGGTGGCTGCGGGATTAGAAGACCGAGAAGATACAGCCATGCAAAGCGACTCAGAAGAACTCACCTCCAAGGATGCTCAGACAGTAGCAGGGAAACGTATCGCCGAGAGCTTTACCAACCTCAGCACCAGTCTGCAGGCATTACACTCACAAGCAGAGCAAGCTGTGATGCAGGAAGAGGAGGATCAGAACAGGAAGCGACAAAGACTAGCTTCCCCTTCAGAAGAAGGTACAACAATACCAGATGCTGCCAAGCCTTTTGGCGGGGCCGAGTAAATAATGCCAGGTGTATTGCTCATGGGCCCTTGCAGGTCGGCAAATCAGGGGACACTCACCATGCAGGTGTCACAATTCCATGCACCTCTCACTGCTGCACTCCATTGCCATGGATGCATTCAGTGATTTTTGAGCATGATTTTATTGACCCTTGGACTGCCTCAGACCGTGCATTTCACCTCAGCGTTCAGGTAGCACAGGATATCCACCAAGGATTGCCGCGTCTCAACAACTCATGCGTTGGTCAGCAGGACCACCAGAGAGCAAAAGCTGTTGGGCGTAAGCTATCACGAAAAGTGACTTTTGATCCAATTCTTCACATTTCCATAGGATTTGATGATGAGATTTCCATGTTGCAGTACACGATTTCTCATGCCTCACTCAGTAACCCTGACAAACCATGGTCATTGGTGCCTCAAGTATGTTCCCGCCGAGTGCCTGTACGCAAAAATGCTTGTGATTTGATGTCCGTGGGTGACACAATTTTTGCCAAGTTTTTGCATGACAGTGCTACGCTTTTGATGCATCAGACTTTGTCTCTTTGTCATGAGTTTCGAGTTGAGAAATTTGCCAACCACTCAAGCTGGAGCAATGACAGCACGAAACACAAGAATGTGCTGCCAGCTCAGTTTGCTTATCAGGATGATCATTGCTGGTCTCGCGATTTTTTCAAGTTTGCAATCGAAGTTGGTTGGATTGAAAGGGACTTTCATGACATTCATGTTGATGACCCAAGCCTGAGGAATTTGGGATCAGCGTTTCCTAAATTTTTTAAGGTTGCTCGGTTTGACAGATCTCGCTCCCTGCATAGGACTTTTTCCCGCCAGGGCCAATTGCATTCCAAACCGATTGTTGGAACTGTCCCGATTGCCCATTTGCGGCGAGATTTTGAAAGCCCGATCACTTGGCAACGTGGATCGGACAATCCAACTGACGATGATGACGAAATGGATGCTGATGAGCCCAATGAACACCCGCAGCCTGCATTTAATGCAGAGCTTGCCAATCGTTTTGCAAGAGCTGGTTTCGATCCAGATGATCCTGACTTTGAGACTACGGTCCGGACCTGGTACATCGATCATGCAACGGTCAGAAGATGGACTGCTCCCCGTGTGCTCCAACTCGTTGGCCCTCCACGAGGTTGGGAATCGCAGTTCAGCTCTCTATGGGTAGATCAGATTGACCCTGATGAATGGTTTGATATTACGATCATAGAGCCGGATGCACCAAAGCCACGTGGGCTCAGACATGTGATGCTTGATTTAGTGATCACACAATCCATCAATCTTCCACGTATGGCAGGTCTTGTGACAGTTTTGCCCAGTTGGTCACAAAATTTTGAACTCTTCTCAGTTGCGTGCTCTTTTCCAGAACGGGTCAGTGGATATGAGATCCTGCAAGCTGCTGATGCAGCTGATCTTTGCCGCCACAAGATTTGTCAGATCACCTATAGATGGCAGGAAGTCCCCAACACATTGAGGCCTACCCATGAAATGAGTTATGGTCATGGTTTCCAATTGCAGATTCATGAGTATGGCAGGTATGGACACACAGCCGTTGACCAGGATCCTGCAATGCAGCCGCACCGACCAGGATCCAGTGATGATTCATGCGCAGCCAGATCATCAGTTGGGTTGCAAAATCCTTCAACTGGATCAGGAAGTGCAAGCAGCTCAAATGCATATAACACCACTCGACCCAATGCTTCGAGGTTCATGACAGATCTGCATGTTTTCCAGCTTGCTGGCCTTGAATCGGTAACGCAGTTGGTTAACGCTCAGATTCCGCAACCATCACATGCTCTTGCACAAGCACTCAATGTTCCTTTGGATTGCCTTGAGACGGTTCATGTCATACCCACAACCCCATTTGGTTTTCCACAAAGGGCTATCCCTGCCATTATTCAAAGAAGAGGTGATGTGCCGATGCACTCGACTGATCGATTGATTCTGGTCGACGTGGTGTACCATCGTCCACCTTGGCCCAATGGTGACGAGGCTGCTCCTACAGTCGTCCGTGCTGTGCACTGTGTTGCACAACACATTCTGAGGCCAAACATCCTTATGATTGCTGGTGTATTTCATTATTGCAATCACTGGACAGACATGTGTTCTGTGTTTCTTGATGGTCGAGCTTGGCCTCCTGGTGATCATGCCACCCGGCCGGTCCGACATGGATCATATGCGCTGATTGAAATTCCGGTGCACCCGGCGACTGTTTTGGATATGCAGCATGCTGTTCAAACCGTCCAGCAAGATGGTGAAGTGCAAGGCCTGCCAGATCTTTTCTCTCCACATGACCATGAGGATCAAGAGCATGATCATACACATTTGACTCAGTTGTCAATGGTCAAGCATGAGCCATTACGAAATGCACAAGATCATTTGGACCAACCTGAGATCATCAAGTTGTTTCGATCCGATGAGTCTTTAACTCTTCCCGTTTTTCATGATGACAAGGTTTGCATGACACATGATGGAGCGGTACTGCAACCACTGGTTGAGCTGAACCCCATCTTTGTAAATGCTTCGTTGAATTCCGTGAGCCAACAGACTCAGGACGATACTGGGTCCCCCATCCCACGACCCAGTCAGCCATTTCAACCCAAGCAATGCAGAACACAACCCCCGCCAAAGACCCGTGCGGGCAAGCAAAAATCAGGTAAGGGGACCACACAAACTGGTCGCCAGTCGACGATTGCTGATTTTTTCCATCAGGCTTCAGAGAAGCAGCCATTGAAGGCAAACCTTGTAGGACAGGCTCAAATCACTGATTTTTTCAAGCTCACTGCTCCCAACAGTGATGCAATGAAAGAGAGTCCGCAAGCTGAGATGAATTTCGGACTGAACAATGAAAAGAGAGAGGGTTTGCCTGTCACAGAAGAGATTTTTGCCTCACCGTCACCTTCCTGCATTGAAGCCAAATGCTCCCATGAGCAAACGGCTGACCCACCCGTTTTCACACGCTCCACCCCACCAACACAACAGCCGCCTGCCCAAGAGCGTCCTAGACCGCTCTGGGCTATTGAATTGCAGTCATTATTTGACGAGCTTGCATCAGTAAGGCATCAAGAGACGGGTCCGGAGTTAGCAATTGATGTATGGTACGTCCATCATGTTCATCATCCGGTTTGCCTTGCACCAAGACTTGTGCGTATTGACAATTTACAGGACTTATGGTATGCTGACCTTTGCACGGTCTGGTTTGATCAGATAAGCCGACACTTGCCATTGAAGGTCCTTATTGTCCGACCTCTTCCGCCCTACACACTACGTAGTGAAGCTCAGGTACATGTGATCCTGGAACAAGGCATGCAACCGGGACTAGTTGCCATACATTTCACAGCTGCGTTTCATGGTGGGTCTCGCGCAGGGATTTTTCAGAGAGCAGAGTCATCGGATGACCATATTTGCACCCGGGACATGATTGAGAGGCATCAGTTTGCATCCTATTGTGAGCACAGGCCATGCCATATGTGGATGGGAAGCATGCGCTTTCACTTTGACCAACGGGAACCCATCTTTGCAGGCATTAGTGTTTTGCTTGACATTCACGACATTGCCGCACCATCTGAACCAGCCTCCAGTTCCAGGGATGTTGATCACAACATGCTCATGCAATTACCACCTGGAGTGTCGCCTGCGAGACCACCTGAAATGCCAGATGCTTCCCGAACCTATTTAGCTGCTGACAATGAGGCTCGTGATGGATCTCATCCTTCAGACCATGCTGCCACAGTGCCTCCGGCCACAGCTATTGGGACTTCTGTGATACAGGTCCGCAACCCTGCAGAATTCACGGCTGCCTTGCAATGGATTGTGGATCAACAACCCCCATTGTGCTCACCCCAACAACGCCGGCAAAACAAAATTGTCACGTGGTTTTCAGATGCAGTCACACTTCCTCGATCTGACCACTTTCGGGAAGTCCTCCTCAGCCCGCACCCGCTGTATTGGACTTCTGACATTTTGCAAAGATGGAAAGATTGGATTGAACCTGGCCATCCTGTTTTGCTCCAACTTGTCCAGCCTAGTCCCTCAGGCGGACTTTCTGACACTGCAGCTCATGTGGTCGTCATCCAGCGACAGTTGCCAGACAAGCGCACTGCGATTATTACAGTTGTTGAACTTCTTGAAGACCCGTGGCACCCGACCTCCTTTTGTACACTCTTGCCCACACAGGTGTCCCATCAGGAGTTGCTGGATGAAGCTGATGTTACCCCTCGTTGTCAGCCACTCACTGAGCAATCGCTATGCGAGGTCACTCATGGTAGTATTAAACTCCTCCCGGACATGACTTTTCCAGTGCGACATGGCTACAACTTCGAGATTGCGCTTTCATCTCTTGACACTGAATGGGATGACTCCACCAATCTCATTCAGATTGGTTTTAGTAGCATTTCCGCTTTTATCAGTAGCTTGGACTCCACCGTCAAGCAAGCCACAATCTCACATATGCAAGAAGATGAGCTTGACAGGCGCGACCACCGACCCATTTCGGTGACGATTACCCCACCAATTCGACAAGGTACTCCGAGCAGTTCGTTTGAGTACCTTACTTTCCATACAGTTTTGCAAGCAGCCTGGCAGCCATTGTCACTTCTCTCAGCGAACACCATTGACCCCTCTGTGCCGGTCTTGACTTGGTATCTTGACTTTGTCAGACACCCACAATGTTTTGCTGCACGTGAAGTACAACTGTTTTCGGATCCCGAGGAATGGACACATCTTATGAGATTTGCTTGGAGTGAAATTGTGTTGTACGATTTGCCACTGTATTTCTACTTGGTTCACCCAGACCCAATTGAGATGGAAGTCCATGCGGCTATGCATGTCATCCTGGTTCAGCAACCCATCCAGGGTTTTGATGCTATCTTGGTTAATGTTGTGGATTCTGCATGGCCAGGGATGCCTCCTGCTCGACATGCATCCATGGCACCTCACATGCTTCCTTTTCCGACGTTAATAGGCATTGCGTATCGTGATCAAGACTGCAACTCACCCCACAACACCTGCACGGCATGGAGGGGTGACCAGGAGATCAACCCTCACGAAGTTGTTCCACTGGCTAATGGAATGTCTCTCACAGTTGCGATCCACCGCCATCACCAACCAGCACCGGATGATCTGGATCCCTGGGATGACACTGTTGAGTCACAGAACAATTTTACACTGCATAAGGATGCCAATGACTCATGGGATACGTGGGATGCTATGAGCCAACATCAACTATGCAAACAATTGCAGTCAGCTTTTTTGACGCAAACTGACTGTCCACCCAAGATCGACAAGACTGTGGCACCAGTCAGCATTTGTCTTGAAGCTGCTTTACCACACCTGCCTTTGCCCCCAACGCAGGAACTTGACCCAGATGTCTCAGCCATTGCATGGTTTCAAAACGCTGATTGGCAGCAGTACTGCTATGAGATCCCTGCGACCGAGCCATTCCCCCTCCCTGATGGACTCAAGGTTCCGGATGTCAGTTACCCAGCATTGCTACAACCCCAATTGGAGACCGACCCCCAAACATGGACCTGGGAAGTCTATGTAGACGGCTCACAGGGTCTTGTTCATGCCGGCTGGAGTGTCATCATCGTTTGTGCTGACCAATTTGCATCCTGTTTTTGTGGTTGTTTTGCGGGGCAAGTACAGCTCTCTCCAGGCCACCCCCAGTGGCTGGGTGCAAATGAGACTGATAACATTGCAGCCGAGTTCACAGCATTTGCTGTTGCACAGGATGTCGTCATGCGCCTGCTACCACAACGCCCCGCTGTGATTAGACCTGATTTAAGGCTCAGTCAGATGATTGCCACTTTTGAATCCATCACCACTGCATCGCCCAGGATAGCCCAAGTGTGCCGAGTGTTATCCAAGTGGCTTGGGCCTAGAGTGAAAGTCCGGCAAATTGCAGCCCATCAGGGTCATCCATGGAACGAGCTCGCTGATGCATTAGCCAAATGGGCTACCACCCAATCTGAGGATGTCCTCCCACAATGGAATGTTGATGGACTCCACCGGCTGGCAGTTTCTTCTCATGACCTGAACTGGTGTTGGTTGCAAGACTCCTCAGACCGTTTTCGTGCATGTTTTCCCCCACTTGTACAAGACGAAGTCATGCAGTTTCCTGCTTCTGATCGACATGTTGCTGCGCTCCCGCAGAAACCTCAGGCAGACCTCTGCTGTGCCAATCTGGCGTTTGCTTGTGCCACCACCAATGTACTTGCTTTAGACCATTTTGAGCATCAGAACGAAGTTGGACGCCATACAGGGGCAAGAACAGCAAGACTTGACATCCAGATGCATCGACTTGGCGTTGCGGTGGTTGGCATCCAAGAAGCAAGAACAAAGCCAGGAACCTATCGCAGTGAGCACTATTCCATTTTTGCATCAGGCTTCCAAGGCCCTAGACCAGTGTGCCTTGGTTGTGAACTCTGGATCCATTAGTGATCATGCAAGATGGTACCAAACTGCAGGCACGGCACTTTCGCATTACCACACAATGCGCTGACCCAAGACGCCTCTTCGTGAGATTGGAAAATGACAGCCTAATCCTGCACTTCATTGTCCTTCATGCACCTTGTTTGGGCAAGAACAAGGGTGATGGGACTAGGCCAATTGATCAGATTTCTGACTGGTGGCGAGAGACCACCCGTCTTTTTGCATCTCATGTCACGGCAGATCTTGTTTGGGTTTTTGTAGATGCCAATGCTCCTCTCAACTCAGAATACTCTCCACATGCCGGCTCCGCTGGAGCAGAGCCCCTGAACCCTCAGGGACGGTTGCTAGGCAGTTTTTTGCTGGAGTCCTCGTTATTTGCCCCATCCACTTTTGCACATTTCCATCAAGGAATGCACGCAACTTGGACACACTCAAATGGGTCCAAATACCGAAGAGACTATGTTCTCACCAGCAAAGTTGCTTTTGAGCTTACTGACCACACCGCAGTGCTACATGATTTTGATAATACTTTTTGTCATGATGACCATTTGCCGTTGGTGCTCCATGTCAAGGGTATGGTGCAATGCAAGGTGTCCGCAGGAGGTGAGGTCCAATGGGATGAAAATGCTTTTTTATGTCCGGAACGTATTGCTCAATTTCAACAGGCACTTGCCACTCTGCCGATACCAGTTTGGCAGATCGATGTAGTTGATCACAAAAACTGGTATGAACGCCAATTATTGCAGCTGGGGGCGCAATTTTTTGCCAAAAGATCCAAAACCCGCACACGACCCAAACTGCGCCCAGATACTCTTGCTGCAATTGCGTTCAAACGCCACCTGCTTGACTGCGCAAGAGCCTGGAACATTGTACAGCTCCCAGAATTCAAAGATCACATCAAACCGGTCGAGAAAGCAATTCGAGCGATGGTCCGTTCTGACCTCACTTGCTTCTACGACCAAATTCTGGTCCAACTGCAACAATCAGGCAGCCTTGGAGATCACAAGACAGTATTCCGGACTCTGGTCAAACTCGGAGGACGCAATCGCAGAACCGGAGCGTCGGTCAGACCTCTCCCAATGTTGCAACAGCCGGATGGGACGCTCACCCAGTCCTTTCTCCAACGACAACAAGTCTGGATGGAGCAATTTGCTGCACTGGAAGCGGGTAGACTAACGCCAGCTCAGGCTCTGCGAGATCAAGACAAGGATTTGGCCGATCGTACTCTGGACTTGCAGCAGCCCAAGTCATTCCCTACCATATGGGATGTCCAAACTGGATTGCGGCGTTTGAAGCGAGGCAAGGCACCTGGACCCAACTGCATCCCGCCTGCTCTCCTTAAGGCCGGCGGTGAGATATTTGCCAGACAATTTCTCGCCCTGCTCACCAAATGCGCTGCACATTCACATGAGCCACTCGATTGGAAAGGAGGTCGATTGTTTCCCCTCCACAAAGGGAAGCTCCATCCATCAGACCCGCAGGGATACCGATCGATTTTTGTGTCCGATTTTACCGCCAAATTATATCACATGACCCTTCGCAGGCCATTAGAAGATGCATGGAGCCAGTCCATCCACTCTCTCCAACTTGGTGGTCGAAAGGGACAGGGTACCGATATGGCCCATCATTTTCTACAGACCTACTGGCACTGGGTCACTCGGGTGCGGCGACCTGCGGCTCTCATCTTCTTTGATGTTCGTGCTGCGTTTTACAGCGTTTTGCGGGAAACGTTGTTCCCAGGCGATGGAGATGTTGGTCAGCTGGTTCGTGTGCTATGTCAGCTTGGTGTAGCAACTGATCTTGCCGACAGCATTGCACCACATGTGGACCAGGATTTTGCCCTGGATGGGGTCTCCCCACATATCCTGGCAATCCTCAAAGATGCCATGACCAATACCCATTTTTACATTGACGGGATTGCCGACCCCTGCTGCACGCAGAGAGGCACGCGCCCTGGAGACCCAATTGGTGACATTCTATTCAACCTTGTCATGTCCTGTTTGCTCCGTGATGTTAAGCAGATGGTCACAGGAAGGCTGAACATTGCATATTTTGGGTCTTCGGATCAATGTCGAGATTTCTCCACTTTTGCTGAACTGCCTGTGCATGGCTGCTTCGACATCTCTTTTGTAGATGACTGTGCATTTGGAGTTCACGGAACCAACATCTCTCAAGTTGAAGAAGGCATCAGAGTGATCGTTGACTCTATGGTGCTTGCCTCTCGCAGACGCGGTCTCACCATCAACTTTGAAGAAGGAAAGACTGAAGCTCTTTGGAACCTAGTCGGTAAAGGGTCGCGTGACCACAAGGCTAACATTGCAGCCAACAACTCCTGCCTTACATGGGAAGGACCACATGGTCCCACGGCACTTCGCATTGTGCCAGCCTACCGACATTTAGGAACCTGGCTCCAGATCGGACATGTCCATGGGAAGGAAATTCAGCAGCGTAGTGCCCTTGCCCGCGCTACTTGGGGTGCACTTGCTCGCCCCTTTTACAACAAACGGTATGTTTCCCTTCATGTCAAGGCTCAAGTTTTCCAAGCCACTGCTCTCAACCAGTTTTTGTACAATGCACACATCTGGACAGGGCTCACCCCCATTGAATGGGATAAGTGGCACAATGCACTGCGCAAGCCTTTTTGCCTGATGATTCGTGGAAAACTCAGGGGGATCAATCCACTCCATCTTGACATGGATGCAGCTTGCGCCATGGCAGGGGTACTCCCGCCGAAACATGCGGTACATGTAGCAAGACTCCGATACTTGAGGCGTTTGGCACGTCACTGCCCGCAGGCTTTATGGAACATGCTCATGACACATGCAGAGGTTGATGCTTCATGGATCTCCCTCTGTCATGACTCTTTTGACTGGTTTCGCCAATTCTATGATGTGGCCTTTGCGCCGGACACCAACGACATTGTCATTTGGATCACGGCCATCTCAATTGACACTTCATGGAATGGACGAGTCAAACGTGCCGCATTTTCTTGCTTGCAACATTGTAATGCCATTGCCGAAAGAGTTGTTTTTCAGCAGAGGTTCTCAGCAAGGTTTGAGGAAGTGGGAGGGGTGCTACCACTTTCATCACAGACCCCGTCGGACAAATGGCAATGTGACTTGTGTAATAGATGCTTCCCCACTCGGAAGGGCCTTGCGGCTCATGCAGCCAGAGTGCATGGGTATAAGAGGGTCGAGCGGTTTTATGCCACTGGCTCGTGTTGCGACGCATGTGGAAAGTTCTACCATGCCAGAGCTCGACTGCTTGCGCATTTATATGACTGCCCAGATTGTTTAGCTACTCTCCAAGCATGTTTCCCACCTATTGCTGAAGCAGATGTTGAACAGCTGGATGCCCAAGATAAACAGTACGCCATTGACATGCGCCTCAAGGGCTGGTGGCGCACCAAGGCCTTTGCCCCCCCAGTCAAGTTCTCGGGCCCATTGCTGCCTCGTTTTGACACACCTGAGGCCAGGGTTTTCAGAACTTATTGGGATGCGCGTACCACCCACCCAGGTACGGCTTACCAGGAATTGCAGGGCCACTGTGCAGGTGCTAGCCGTGAGCAGCAGCCGGAGGTTCACCTCTTTGCCCAGGACCTCCCCGCTTTTATCCTGCATGCCCCCCCCGGACCAAACAGGGGAGGGGGCGCCCTGGACCAGGTAGGATTGGCCCGTGAAACGGCAAGGCTTCATATCAAATGGCTAGTGTTCGCGCATTTCTTCAGCGGATATCGCCGACACAATGATTTGCATGCGATACTAGAGCAAGCTCCGCTACCAGATGGTTCGCAGCTGATCACCATCTCAGTCGACCTCTGTATGCAGAGGCGTGACAGCAATCTTGCTGCAGATTCCGCTACATCATGGTGGATTGCACGGATTCATGCAGGACAGCTGATAGGTGCGGGAGGCGGCCCACCTTGTGAGTCGTTCACGGCTGCTAGATTCCAAGATCAAGGCCCCCGCCCGCTCCGCACCGGGCAATATCCTGACGGGCTCCCTGCACTCAATGCCAGAGAATGGCAGCAACTACGCATAGGCTCGCGTCTGGTCTTCTTCATTTTCGAAGTATATTTAGAACTTGCCATCGTAGGAGGCTGTGCATTCATTGAACATCCACAGTGGCCAACCTGGGCGGCCAAACATGACCCTGCAAGCATCTGGGCCACTTTGCAAGCCCGGCTTTGCAAGACGATGCATTGCAGTAGCGTTGTGAGTTTTGACCAATGCGTGGTTGGATCATGTGCAAAGAAACCAACCACAATCTTACTGCTGCGCCTTGACTCCTTTCGGCACGAGATGCTTCGATCTGGCCTTGGCGGTCGATGTCACCATGCCAAAGGCGCTCATGAAAGGCTGCAGGGCCGCAATGAGCGAGGGGAGTTCCGCACAGCAGTAGGCAAAGTTTATCCTCCTGGGCTCAACGAAGCCCTGGGTCGAGCGATTCGTTGCTTTGCAGCTCAGACATTGGGCGGCAAGTTTTTGCGATCAGAGCTCCCCGAGGAGTTGATAGTTTTCAAGCAACAGACCTTTGAAGCTCCGGACGTTGTACAGCCTGATTTCCATGGAGCTGAGCACTAGCTCTGAGGTTTGTTGTGCTACACTGCATGAGACCAAGCACCAACAGGTGCAGATTCTGCAAAGTGGCAAAAGTGATGATCCTGCTTGATGAGCATATTCTATGATGCATGTCTCAGGAACGCCTCGTGTATACAATGTCCCATGTATGTGGACTGGGGAAAAAAAACAACCACTGCATGAGGATCCATTGTCATGGAATGGGTACCATTAAGCGCCAGAATATCCATTGTCACTTCGGTACCCCTTAGATTTGATTTCGGAAAGACTGATTTTTGGAGTCATGAGTCATGCCCTTTTTGGAACATGGGATCCTCGCGGTAGAGGTCGGAGGCAAAGTGCCTTTTTCGTAGACTTTCCCCGCTGGGTCCATACGGTTCCACAGGTATCTCGCTGGTGGATGAGCCAACTCCCCCTTGGTGTTTTCAAGCACTGAAGGATTTCAAGACAAAATGGTTTGTAGTCGTCTCTTTTTGTGGGTTTAATTCAATATATTTCCGGAAGTCAACATGGGTGTTCCTAGAAGATCCTAGAAGTACATACCATTTGTTTATTCTTTCCCCTTGCAAATCTGGATGGATCGCAGCAATACACTTTGTTACTTTCGAGGGGCACAAATGCTAGGAAAGACGGTATCTCATTCCCTAAAAATTGTTGACTTCTAGCCGCAGAGCAGCAACCCACCAAGAAATCCATGCTTAAGGCTGTTGAAATTTTCTACTATATCACATCCACTATATCCTCTTGAGATTCGTTGTGGCCAGTAAAGTAAAATCATGTCAGTCAGTCAAAGCCGCGAAGGATCCACCCTCGATTCAAGCGAATGCGTGGAAGAGGTACGCGAATTGGCATTTGGAAGTGCTGGAACATTGGAGTGTGAACCAGCATCGACGAAGAAAGACCAACAATGTTTTTTCATTTTGTCACTTACATCATTTGTTTTGCCGGAATTTCATGACCTAGAACTCTCCATCTGCAGCCAGGCAGCCGGTCATTTTGGAGGCCTATGAGAAAGCGTGCTGAATGATACGGAATGGGGGATTTTCATCGGGGAAAAAAGATTTAATCAGCAAATGGGGGTGTCAACCAGTTTTTTCTGTTTATTTTTCGTTTCATTCTTCTTTTTGCTGGTGAGCATGATTTATTGGTTGAATCATTATTCCCCTTGATCAATCTACATAGGCATTATATACCCATTGGTTCATATGCTGATTACCGATTTGTTGATTAAAATCCATTATCTCCAAGTGTTTGTTTCCTTCTACTTATATTCATACCGGTCAAAAAAATAACGACAATAATATTAATAACAGTAAAGAATCATGATAGCGGAAACTAATTGTAATTACAAACTACCCTTTGCATTGTCACACATGATATGTATGGTATACAGCCAAAAATTGGATCCATTGTATCTATGTTTTCTCATATTACAATTCTGTGAGCTGCCATGATGAGTGTTTACACATTCGTACCCCTAGTAATAGGAGTCATATGGACGACAGTGGGCAAAATGCCTGTGGGCAAAATACATACCCTATAATGTATTACCCCATAGAAAAAACCAGTTATATGGGTCAATGACAGGTTTGGCAAAGTGGAGTGATTGGAATACGCCGCAACCACCACCGCTCAAGCTATAATCCCCATGGGCCGTTTCCCCTTGAATATATCGCCATTGTATCTACTTGGTTTGGGACACATTGCTTTGACCGGGATTGTGGTTCTACAGCATCAGCAACAGAGTTTTTGGAGGATAGGCTTCTAGATTTGGCGGTGAAATCTGCGGACCATAGGGAGGTACAAGTGAATCCTGATCCAAGTCCTGGTGGTGAGAGCGCCAAGACAACGCATCGGTTTGAGGGACCACCTATCTTTCCGGCAGTTGGCCCCAAGCCTGAGGCTGGCTTTCGAGAACAGGGGTTGCTGTCAATTGCTCTACTATTGTTAGTGTTTTTGCTAGCTGTGGTAGTGGCAGTGAAGATTTTGCAGTCCCGGACATCCAAGAAACAGGAGACAGTTAAGGGCGCTCCGAGCCCTAGGCAGCTAGCTCAGAGACAGCTTGCTGAGCTGCGATTGAGGAGACATGGCATTGGTGAATCGCTACATTCTGGTCGAGTATGATGTAGGAGGTCCGAGGTTGTGGCATCAGAGGTGGGCCTAGAACATGTAGGTGGAGATTCATACATAGTTGTGACACCTGACAGAAATATATATAGTGAAGACTTGGGTTTGCTGAACAGTGATTTGCGTGGGATCCGAGTGCGACCCGCTCCTGGGGTGGTGCCTCCAGGGGTGAATGCAGCAGAGATTTATGCGCTGCCCATGTGGAATGTCGGAGAGGTGCAGGCCATTCGAGATGAAGCAAGGCAGGTCGCTCTCCAAGAGCGCCAGGCAGCGGGAGCACCTGCGGCACAAGCTGTTCCTGTGGCAGCAGTTGGGGTGGCAGCCCTTCCTGCGGTCGCTGGGCCCCTTGTGCCTGCTGGTGCGGCACCCCATGCCTGCGGTGTCTTGAAATGGATGGCGGCTGAGACGGCTGCGGGTTACAGCTATGGAGACCCCGTTGTTGGGGTTACGGCGGCTAGTGCTCGTGGTGCCAAAGCAGTGCATGTGGAGAATGGGATCCCTATTTTTGTTGAGTGTGTTGATGGAGCAGATTTCACTGTTTTCATGTCACGCCCCGCCAAGTGTGATCATCGCATCTTGGCCGTAGAGATGAATGCTTTGGGTCAGCCTGAGAGGACGCTGAAGGATGCCGCTTCGGCCTTGTCTGAAACAGCGGTGAAGTGGACCCTCACTGGTCCTCGGACGTCCAAGTGGTGCATCAGCTATTTGGCCATTGAGGGATTGGGTTTTGAGGGTCACCACGAGAGACTGCGGCAGGTGACACGTGCAGATTCTTCATCCTGGGGCATACAAGAGCATTTTCAGATTTCAATGTCTTTGAGGCAGGCCTTGTTGGTTGATCAGCTCAATGGGTGCAACCTCTTGAGCGTTGAAGTGCAGTTCAGGAGGTTGCAGACCATTGAATACAGCTATGCCGAGAAGGCGCGTGAACAAGAGTCAAAGGCGGTTGGAGGCAGACTGACATTGGAGGAGCAGACAACCTTCGGTGGCATGACTCGGCAATACAGTACGTTGATGATTTGTCCAGAATTGCTGGACTATGTCCGGACTGAAACTGAGAGAGAGGCGACTCTTGCAAAAAGTCTGCGGAAGGCGAGAGAGGAGCGGGAGGCCTTGCGAAAAGGCCAAAACCAAAAGACGAAGGGCAAGCAGGAGGACCCCTGAGGGTCCAGGTGCGGCCCAGCCTAGGCCCAAGGCTGGCCGTGGAACCTCATGGGCCACAAGGTGGAAGGCAGGTCAATAGGGAACTTTTCCCACTGCCCTCCGTGCATGTTGAATCTCTGGAAGCTGGTAAGTTGTCGAAGAAAGTTCGACAGCGGATTGGCAGAAGGCGGCATCTACAGGAGGAGGTGCAGAGTACAGTCAATGTTTTGAACATGATGCATGGTGGGACGGGCGGCCCTATGTCTCCGAAAGGTGATATCAGTAGTGGTCAGCAAAAAGTCCTGGAATTCATTGAGCAGTCAGTTGCGGCTTTGGGAAGCCCACCTCAACTTTCTGGCCCAGAGGCCCTAGAGGAGCTTCGGGTGAGTGTTGGGTACGGAGAGACGCCAGCTTCGTGCCCACTCGGTTCCTTTGATCCCGCATCCGTCTCATTGCCTTCTGGAGAGATACGACCGGTCGCTCTGGAAAAACTTTGGGGTGAAGGCGGGCAACAAGTGGTGAAGGAATTTTCATCATCACAAATGCTTGGTCCGGATGAGGTCCATGCCAAGCTGAGAGCTAGTGGTGATGTGCGGATTTACAATGACCCCAAGCTGAACGACCCCAAAGAATATGGAGCCTTCATTAGCCGACTGCATTCCTTAGGTCTTGCTGAGTTTTGTTTGGAGCCGCAGGAGGAAGAAGTAGGGCTGTTTTTTTGTGAAGAAGAAACGAAACCGCCTGAGGCTGATCATGGACTGCCGCAGGGCGAATCTCCATTTTGCAGAGCCATCCACCGTTGAGCTTGCAACCGGCGATGCGCTGGGAAAGCTAGAGGTGGGCAGAGATGATACTCTGTATTTGGCATCAGCAGATCTTGCAAACGCCTTTTATACACTGGAGCTGCCGGCAGAGTGGCGGCGCTTTTTTGGTTTTAGACGGGTCAGAGCTGTGCACCTTGGCGTGGTTGAGGTGAATGGCCAGGCTGTCGCACCTGACACCTGGGTGTACCCACGGACCTTGGTGGTTCCCATGGGTTGGGCCTGGGCATTGTGGTGGTGCCAGAGTGTGAATGAGAGGATATGCGAGAGGAGTGGTTTGGCAGCATGTCATAGAGTGCGAGATGGTTTTCCAATTCCTGGTGGCTCTTTCTGGCATTTGCAGTATGTAGATAACTTGCATGTGTTGGGAACTGACAAAACAGAAGTAGAGAAAAAGTTTTGGGATGCAGTGCGAGGTTTGAGGGAAGCAGGTTTGACAGTGCATGAGATAGAGTTCAGCGAGTCAACCGTCACCATGCTTGGGTGGCAGATAGAGGAGAAAGGGGTTCTACGCCCAACCTACAAGCGAAACTGGCGGATCAGGATTGCGATCCGGGAGTCGCTCTCCCGTGGGCGAATGACTGGACAACAGCTGGAACGTTTGATTGGGCATATGACTTTTGTGTCACTTTGCCGTCGTGAGGCCTTGGCGGTGCTTGGTGAGGTATACACCTTCATCAGACGGCATTACCTTGAATGCGTGCCTATCTGGAAAACAGTGAGGAAGGAGCTCATGAAGTTTGATGGTTTGTGTCCTCTAATATTCAACAACATGCGTAGTGGTTGGAGCAATACAGTATATGCAGTTGACGCGTCAGAGTGGGGCTTGGGTGTTGTTACGTCTGAAGTCGAACCTGGTTGCAGCAAACAATGGGGTCACCATCTTGAGAGGTGGAGGTTCAAGGATGCCAATGCAAAAGATCCTAGGAGGTATGTGTTGGTTGAGGATGAGCGAAACTTTGTGGTTGATGAAGATAGTCCACCAAACGACGTTGAACGGCATTACAAGACAGTGGGTTTTGAGGCAGTTGATCGTCATTGGCAAGTTGTTGGTCGCTTTAAATGGTTGCGAGCAGATAGCATGCCTGTTTTAGAAGCCAGGGCCTCTTTGTACGCAGTCAAGCATTTTTTGAGGAACAGCACAAACTTTGGGCAACGGTTATTGGTGTTGACGGATAGCATGACGGCGGCAGTAGCATATGATAAGGGAAGAGCACAATCACACAAACTAAGGCGTGTTCTTGAGCAGTTTTCGGCTTTGGCACTTTCAACAGGGTTGGTGGTTAGGACTAGATGGATTCCAAGTGAGTGGAATCCGGCTGATTCAGTGAGCCGTGGGGGAACAGCTCCATCGAACCCACAGCGCCGTTTTGATGATCCACCGACAGTTGGGAGTGGAAGTGAGCTGGTGCAGCAGCCCTCAGAAAAAGAGGGGGCGGGGAGACAATTTCCCGCAGAACCAACAGAGGTGTTTTCCGACACAACAGGCTCGGGAGGCGCCCCTCAGGGAAGTTCCTCTCACCTGGCAGGTAGAGCAGTTGACAGAGCAGCGCTCAGTCAAGAAGCAGAGGCGAAGCCAGTTGAGAAAAGCAGCGCAGTCAAGAAAAGTAGGAGTGCTGAGAAAGAACTCAGTAGGACACCTGACTCAAAAGAAATATCAGAGACACTGGGAGATGTTGCAAAAGTGGAGTCACAATGCAATTGCAGTAGATACTTCGCTGGAGGTGTTGGACTCGATGCTTGCAAATTATCTGGAGCATTGTTACCTAGAAGGGGAGGATCTCAGTTTTGCGAACTATGCAGTGGCTTCAGTAGTGTATCATCTGCCCAGGGCCAAGGGGGCAGCCTTACCCTTGGTACAACAGTCAATGCGGGGGTGGCGAAGATTGTGCCCACCGAGAGCGCCATTGCCAATCCCCTACGAAGTAGTGTGTCTGCTGAGCATGCAGGCCTACAAGGAGCACAAACTAGAGATTTGCGTGGTGCTGCAACTGATGTTTTTGTTGTACCTGAGGCCAGGCGAGGCCTTCACCATGCGGGTCCAAGACATTGTTTTCCCAGTCAAGCGAGCCGGCAAAGCATACAAGCACTTCTCAATACTGCTGCACCCCTCGGAAGAGGGGATTCCGTCCAAGACGAAACAGTGGGACGAAATGCTGAGTATAGACCTGAAACACATGAAGTTCTTGGGACCAGCTCTAGAACAAATTCTGGACCTCAAGAACAGGGCAGGTGCAGACAAAGCATTTACAATCAGCCTGGAGGACGTGAACCAGTTCATGGAAAGCAACTGGGAGCCTCTGGGCCTCAAGCCGCTGGGAAAGCCTCACGCATACAGGTTGCGCCACGGAGGTGCAAGCTGCGAGGCAGCCTTGAAGCTGCGCACACTGGCATCGATACAGAGCAGAGGGCGATGGCAGACGTTGAAAAGTGTCAAGAATTACGAGAAGGGTTCAAGACTGGCGCAGCTCTTTGGCAGTCTCAGCAAAGCAACAAGAGACAAGGCCGTGCGAGCAAAAAAGGACGTCGTGCAAGTCTTGTCTGGAAAGCTTTAGATCCTACGCGGAGTCTCAAAGTTTCAGTTTTTCTTGAAATTTTCAGTGGATGTGGTCGCTTGGGCAGAGCAATACACCGCAAGTGCGGGTGGCCGGTTCTCTTGTGGGATATTAATTTTGGCGCTATGTATGACTTGTTGGATTCTAGTAACCAAAACAAAATCATACACTGGATTATGTCTGGAGAGGTGCGAGCAGGTCATTTGGGTACGCCTTGTCATAGCTTCTCCCGGGCACGTGATCGCCCTGGGGGACCGCCAAGACTTCGGTCAGACCAGCAGCCTCTTGGACTTCCAGACTTGAGACCAGGTGACCAGCTGAAAGTTACCCAGGGGAACCGGTTGATGCGTTTTTCATGCCGAGTTTTGCTCCTAGCCTTACAACTGCATATATCATTTACACTGGAGAATCCCCTAAACAGTCGTCTCTGGTTGTGTCCTGGTGTGCAGAACATCATGCGTCGACGTGCCATTGATACAGTTGATATTACTTTTTGTGCTTTTGGTACTGCTTGGAAGAAACCCACTAAGTTTCTGGGTATACACTTGGATCTCTCTCTTCTTCGACCTTATTCTTGTGTTGGTACAAAGCGGGGCATTTGTGCACATACTGGCTGTCCACATATCCCACTGATGGGTCAGCATCCGTCAGGTATGTGGATGACAAAGGTCGCTGAACCATACCCTTTGGTGTTGTGCAGAAAGTTGGCTCAATTTTTTTACAACACTGATTTAGCAGCAATTGCAGAGGGATTCATGATTTACTTGTAGGCGGATACTCCAGGAGGCACCCGTTGAGTGCAAACTTGGGTGCAAAATTGGGTGCGGCTATGCTGGCGTTAGCTCTCAAGTGAGGCTGATCAGTCTCCGGTGCTCGCAAAACGCGAGGCAGAGCATTCAGTGACCCTTCTGACAGTGGAAATACATGCAACGGTGGCATATAGGTCAATGACAGGTTTGGCAAAGTGGAGTGATTGGAATACGCCGCAACCACCACCGCTCAAGCTACCCTCCCACCCATCCCGCTAAACGGGGTGGGTGCGGCTATGCTGGCGTTAGCTCTCAAGTGAGGCTGATCAGTCTCCGGTGCTCGCAAAACGCGAGGCAGAGCATTCAGTGACCCTTCTGGCAGTGGAAATACATGCAACGGTGGCATAACTATAACTAATCCCTATTTATAGAATGTATAATCCCATAGAAAAAACCAGTTATAACTATAGCTAATCCCAATTTATAGAATGTATAATCCCATAGAAATCACCAGTTATAACTATAACTAATCCCCATTTATAGAATGTATAATCCCATAGAAAAAACCAGTTATAACTATAGCTAATCCCAATTTATAGAATGTATAATCCCATGGAAATAGCAAGTTTTAGCTATAACTAATCCCCATTTATAGAACGTATAAACCCATAGAAATAACCAGTTATAACTATAACTACCCGGCATTTATAGAATGTATAATCCCATAAAAATATCCAGTTATACCTTTAACTAATCCCTATTTATAGAATGTGTAATTCCATAGAAATAACTAGTTTTAACAATAACTAATCCCCATTTATAGAATGTATAATCCCATAGAAATAACCAGTTATAGCTATAACTAATCCCCATTTATAGAATGTGTAATTCCATAAAAATAACCAGTTGTAACTAAAACTAGTCCCCATTTATAGACTGTATAATCCCATAGAAATAACCAGTTATAAATATAACTAATCCCCATTTATAGAATGTAAAATCCCATAGAAATAACCAGTTATAACTATAGCTAACCCCCATTTATAGCATGTATAACCCCATAGAAATAACCAGTTATAACTATAGCTAACCACCATTTATAGAATGTATAATCCCATCGAAATAACCAGTTATAACTATAACTAATCACCATTTATAGAATGTAGAGCCCCATAGAAATCACCAGTTATAACTATAACTAATCCCCATTTATAGAATGTGTAATCCAATAGAAATCACCAGTTATAACTATAACTAATCCCCATTTATAGAATGTATAATTCCATAGAAATCACCAGTTATAACTGTAACTAATCCCCATTTATAGAATGTGTAATTCCATAAAAATAACGAGTTGTAACTATAACTAATCCCCATTTATAGAATGTGTAATTCCATAAAAGTAACCAGTTATAACTAGAACCGGTCCCCATTTATAGAATGTATAATTCCATAGAAATCACCAGTTATAACTGTAACTAATCTTATGAAAAACTTGCAGCCACAGACTGGGCCAGGTCAAAATAGTTTTTTCCCCACCTGCCAGGTGAGGGTTGTTAGATTTTATGTCAGTTGCCTCCTCGTCCTCCTCCTCCTTCTCCTCCTCCTCCTTCTCCTCCTCCTCCTCCGCCTCCTCCTGCCTTGTCCTCCTCTCCTCCTCCTCCTCGTCCTCCTCGTCGTCCTCGTCGTCCTCGTCGTCCTTGCTCAACTGCGACCCGCGATCCACAGTGTTCTCTGCCGGACCTCAACCACGACCATCCACGCCCAGTGTTCCCTGCCGGACCTCAACCACGACCATCCACGCCCAATGTTCCCTGCCGGACCTCAACCACGACCATCCACGCCCAGTGTTCCCTGCCGGACCTCAACCACGACCATCCACGCCCAGTGTTCCCTGCCGGACCTCAACCGCGAGTATCCACGCCAAGTGTTCCCTGCCGGACCTCAACCACGCCATCCACCCCAGTGTTCCCTGCCGGACCTCAACCGCGAATCCACGCCAAGTGTTCCCTTCCGGACCTCATGTAGGAAGATATGGTACAAAGAATGTGCAGAAGAAAGTTAGAAAGAATGTCAGAAAGAATGTCAAAGATATGCCAGAAGATATGCCAGAAGATATGCCAGATAGAATGCCAGATAATATGCCAGAAGATATGCCAGATAGAATGCCAGATAGAATGCCAGATAGAATGCCAGAAGATTTGCCAGATAGAATGCCAGAAAATATGCCAGAAGATATGCCAGATAGATATGTCAGAAGATATGCCAGAAGATATGCCAGAAGATATGCCAGAAGATATGTCAGATAGAATGCCAGAAGATATGTCAGAATATATGCCAGAAGATATGCCAGATAGAATGCCAGAAGATATGTCAGATAGAATGCCAGAAGATATGCCAGATAGAATTCCAGAAGATTTGCCAGATAGAATGCCAGAAGATATGCCAGAACATATGCCAGAAGATATGCCAGATAGAATGCCAGATAGAATGCCAGAAGATATGTCAGATAGAATGCCAGAAGATATGCCAGATAGAATGCCAGAAGATATGCCAGAAGATATGCCAGATCATATGCCAGAAGATATGCCAGATAGAATGTCAAATAGAATGTCAGAAGATATGTCAGATAGAATGCCAGAAGATTTGCCAGTAAGAAAATGTATAAATGTCATGGTGGGGATCACACGAAGTAAAGTAATTTTTTCCCCACCTGCCAGGTGAGGGTTGTTAGATTTTATGTCAGTTGCCTCCTCCTCCTCCTTCTCCTCCTTCTCCTCCTCCTTCTCCTCCTCCTCCGCCTCCTCCTGCCTCGTCCTCCTCTCCTCCTCCTCCTCGTCCTCCTCGTCGTCCTCGTCGTCCTCGTCGTCCTCGTCGTCCTTGCTCAACTGCGACCCGCGATCCACAGTGTTCTCTGCCGGACCTCAACCACGACCATCCACGCCCAGTGTTCCCTGCCGGACCTCAACCACGACCATCCACGCCCAGTGTTCCCTGCCGGACCTCAACCACGACCAGCCCCAGTGTTCCCTGCCGGACCTCAGTGTGTTCCCTGCCGGACCTCAACCACGACCATCCACGCCCAGTGTTCCCTGCCGGACCTCAACTGCGAGTATCCATGCCAAGTGTTCCCTGCCGGACCTCAACCACGACCATCCACGCCCAGTGTTCCCTGCCGGACCTCAACCACGACCATCCGCGCCCAGTGTTCCCTGCCGGACCTCAACCACGACCATCCGCGCCCAGTGTTCCCTGCCGGACCTCAACCGCGACCATCCGCGCCCAGTGTTCCCTGCCGGACCTCAACCGCGACCATCCGCGCCCAGTGTGTTCCCTGCCGGACCTCATGTAGGAATGTCAGATAGACTGCCAGATAGAATGCCAGATAGAATGTCAGATAGGATGCCAGATAGAATGCCAGATAGAATGCCAGAAAGAATGCCAGAAAGAATGCCAGATAGAATGCCAGATAGAATGTCAGATAGGATGCCAGATAGAATGCCAGATAGAATGCCAGAAAGAATGCCAGAAAGAATGCCAGATAGAATGCCAGATAGACTGCCAGATAGAATGTCAGATAGAATGTCAGAATATATGTCAGATATAATGCCAGATAGAATGCCAACATATATGCCAGAATATATGTCAGATAGAATGCCAAAATATATGTCAGATATAATGCCAGATAGAATGCCAGAATATATGCCAGAAAATATGTCAGATAGAATGCCAGAATATATGTCAGAATAAATGACAGGTAGAATGCCAGAATATATGTCAGATGAAATGTCAGAAAATATGTCAGATAGAATGCCAGATAGACTGCCAGATAGAATGCCAGGTGGAATGTCAGGATATATGCCAGATAGAATGCCAGAATATATGTCAGATAGGATGTCAGAATATACTAAATATATGTCCAAATATACGTCCTGACATGTCATGGTGGGGATCACACGAAGTAGAGTAATCATTTTTTTTAATCATTTTGGTTATCATTGCATTCATATTTTTTATCATTTATTTTATCATCTTCATTTTCTTTATCATTTCAGGTATCATTTTTTTAATTATTTTTTCATCATTTTTTCATTGTTTTATCATTTTTTCTTTCTTTTTATCACTTTTCATCATTTTTGCTTCCAGTTGAAAAATTGCAATTTTCCTCATTTTTTTCATTTTTTTTATCATTTTCCCATGTTTAGGATTTTTTTTGCATTATGAAGCAAAAATGATTTTAAAAAAATGATAAAAAAATGAAAAAACTCGAGGAAAATTGCAATTTTTCATTTTTTGCAGAATTTTTGCACCACTGGAAGCAAAAATGATGAAAAATGATAAAAAAAATGAAAAATCAATGATTAAAAAAATGATTTAAAAAAATGAAAAAAACTCGAGGAAAATTGCAATTTTTCATTTTTTGCAGAATTTTTGCACCACTGGAAGCAAAAATGATGAAAAATGAAAAGAAATGAAAAAAAAATGAAAAACATGAAAAAAATGAAAAAAAAATATAAAAAAATGAAAAAAAAGAAACAAAAATGATAAAAAAAATGGAAAAAATGAAAAATGAAAAAACATGAAAAAAATGAAAAACACTCGAGGAAAATTGCAATTTTCCATTTTTTTCCAAAATTTTGCACCACTGGAAGCAAAAATGATGAAAAATGAAAAAAAACAAATGGAAAAAAACTCGAGGAAAATTACAATTTTACATTTTTTGGATTTTTTTTGCACCGCTGGAAGCAAAAATGATGAAAAATGATAAAACATGAAAAAAATGATAAAAAACATGATAAAAAATGATAAAAAATGTTTTAAAAAAAGAGAAAAACATGATAACAAAAATGAAAAAAAATGATACAAAAATGATTAAAAAATGATAAAAAAATTAAAAAACTCGAGGAAAATTGCAACTTTTCATTTTTTGCAGAATTTTGCACCACTGGAAGCAAAAATGATGAAAAATGATAAAAAAAAATAAAAAAATGAAAAACAAATGATAACAAAATGAAAAAAACAATGATAAAAAAATGAAAAAATGAAAAAAAAATGAAAAAAATGAAAAAAACTCGAGGAAAATTACAATTTTCCATTTTTTCAAATTTTTGCACCACTGGAAGCAAAAATGATGAAAAATGAAAAAACAAATGAAAAAACAAATGGAAAAAATTCGAGGAAAATTGCAATTTTCCATTTTTTGGATTTTTTTGCACCACTGGAAGCAAAAATGATGAAAAAAAATTAAAAAAATGATAGAAACAATGAAAACAACTCGAGGAAAATTGCAATTTTTCATTTTTTGGAACATTTTTGCACCACTGGAAGCAAAAATGATGAAAAATGATAAAAAAAATGAAAAATCAATGATTAAAAAAATGATAAAAACTCGAGGAAAATTGCAATTTTTCATTTTTTGCAGAATTTTTGCACCACTGGAAGCAAAAATGATGAAAAATGAAAAGAAATGAAAAAAAAATGAAAAACATGAAAAAAATGAAAAAAATATAAAAAAATGAAAAAAAGAAACAAAAATGATAAAAAAATGAAAAAACTGATACCTGAAATGATTAAAAAAATGAAAACGATAAAAAAAATGATGAATGCAATGATAACCAAAATGATAAAAAAATGAAAAAAACTATTTTAAAGATTTCCAAAGTGTAGCTGGCTCGGTTCTTCATAAAACTAATCCCCATTTATAGAATGTATAATCCCATAAAAAATAACCAGTTATAACTATAGCTAACTGCAAGAAATCCTCAGCTGAAATAGCTGGTTCTTGTAAAGCATGCCTCTGAGTTGCCAGGTACGCGAACCCTGCACCGCTAGCCCATATAGGCTTTGGTGAAAAGAGTGAAAGCCGTTTTCGCATGGTAGCGGAGCTGGTTACGGGCCGTCCTGGGAGCAGCCGGTGGGTTGCACCACTACCCGCGGGGAACACCGCGTAGCCTCCATGCGAGTGGTTGGCGAGCTGCGTGAGGAGCGGCCGCTGGTGGTGAAAGAGAAGAGGAGGCCAGCCGCGTGAGTAGCGGCGACCACAGCCCGTCACTACGGGCAAGCCCGGCCATCCGGGTGAGACCCGGTGGCGATCAGCAGCTGCGGTCGAGCGGCGTGCTGAGAGAGGGGCTCTTAGAAGAGCCGAGGCGCTACTGCAAGCTCCAGCCCCGAGGCCTGGACAGCCAGTGGACGCACCAACAGCAGAAAGGTTGAGCTACGTTGAGGGGCTTCGGTTGCAGTCAGCACCGCAGCTTGGAGACCCTGACTTCGTGGACCACAGAAACCCAGTGCGAGGAGGAATTCCTGCGCACAGTGCGGTGTCAACAGCGGCGCAAAGAGGGTTCAATCGCTTTGCAAGGCGGTACCCGCACCTGGCAGAGCAGGTGAGAAACAACCCAGGGAGGTCGACAAGAAACTCCTACGCAAGGGAGACAGGAGGACGTCGAGCAGCTCACGGACTACTTGGCGAAGGGCTTGAGCCTGCAGTGGACGAGAACGCTACGCAGACAGCATCCGAGGAGGTGCTGGAAAGAATCAGGCAGGACCTGAGAAGCGAGACCGACGAGGACGAGACAGTCTTCGTTGACGGCGTCCTCGAAGAGGACGGCAGCAGCAGCTCTTCGGCGCCCACGCAGGTCACCAGGACCGCGGGTGGAAGGGCAGTGACAAGACTCCCGGAGGATCGAGACACCGTGATCCCCGAGGACAACCAGACCGAGTTCTCAGAAGCAACGCTGACTCACGCACCAACAAGCGTGTGGTACAGCGTAGACGAAGAAGAAACAGAAGAGGCCGCAGAGCAGAGCAGAAGGAAACGAGCAGCAAGAGGCTGCTAAGGGCGACTCAGGTGAAGTTGGGCAGGAGCAGTACGAAGACAACTACTCTTCGTCCAGCTACATGGTACCGGGTCGTACAGTACGTCGAGGGCGAGCTCTTCGAACTGGTCTCACGGAAGGGATCATTGGGAGCGCTACGAGCCCTACCACGCGAACTACAGGTTCCAGCACAAGGAGTGGCGCAACTGGGCCGGCTGGGGAGCTTACGGACAAGGATACGGTTATCACCGAGGCTGGTAAACAGGCGGGTAACACCGTGCTGTACATAGCTGAGTGTAGATAGCCGTAGGTGTCTGTTAGTGTACAGTGCTGAAATGGCCTCACCGCAAGAGGTGCAGGCGATGCAGCAACAGTTGCAAGCCCTACAAAAACAAACAACTGCTTTGAATGAAGGGTTGAGAAGGGCCAGTCAGGCTCATGAGATGACACAACGTAGGTTGACTGAAACGGAAACCCAACTGGCAGCAGCTAGGGCAGCACAAACCGCGCAAGCAAACCAGGAGAGGAGTCTCATACACCCCAGCAATGTGCCCAAACCACCAACATACAATGGAAAGAAAGAAGAGTGGGAAAAGTTCAAACACATTTTCATAGCATGGTCAAGCACAGTTCATGGCAAGTATCCTGAGCTCTTGGAAAAGTATGGAGCAGCTAAGGATCCAATTGATGAAGTTGCTTTTACCGAGGAAGAAGATCGTTTGGCAAAAGCGATGTACACCTTCTTGATGCAGTATTGCCCCGAACTGACAATGAACGTCATCGGGCAAGGGCTGCACGATGCGAATGGATTTGAAATTTGGAGGCGATTGGTTCGACTCTCAGAACCCTCCTACCGCACCAAGGCATGGGTGTGGAGGAAACACCTTTCAAACCCAAACTTTCCATCAGACATGGCCACATGGAGCACTGCGCTTCATCAGTGGGAATCTGAGCTTCGTGAATAAGTATGTTTAAAACACTTTTTTCGGAAGACGAGAAGGTTTCCATTCTCGCACATGTGTCACCAAAAGAATTGCAACAAAGCATATTCATGCACAGCGATGCGCTGAATAGTTACTCGAAAATGAGAGAGCACATAGAGCAGTACTTGGTAAACAAGAACGTGTGGAAACGTCCGCATGGATCTCAGTTTGGTTTGACTAAGGTCGCCAATAAGGTTGATGATGGAGGTCCAATGCCAATGGACATCGGTGGAGTTTCCAAAGGAAAAGGTTCCAAGGGTGACAAAGGAAAAGGCAAAGGTGGAAAAGGAAAAGGTAACTACGACCAGAGTGGAAAAGGAGACAAGGCCTGGAAATGGCAATACAGCGACAAAGGTACTGAAAAGGAAAGACAAAAGGCAGCCATGAGAAAGGAAAGGGTCCGGGGAGAGGAAAAGGAGGTAAAGGTAAAAGTCAGAACGATAAAGGATCAGGCAAAGGAGGTCAAGTGAACAACCCAGACGCAGGAAAACAATGCCACGTGTGTAAGGAGCCGTGGAGAACTCAACACCTGCTAAGGAACAGGCGGCTTCTTCCACTGGAGGTTCAGGTGCAGTCGGTGCCGTGTCAGATCTCTTACCATCTCCAAACTCCATGATTTTCACCGTTGGGGAATCAAGGGTTTCTACTGTAAGTAAAACAGGAAACACCAGGTATCTCTTGGTGGACTCAGGAGCATGCGAGAGTGTGGCAAGGCAAGGAGACTTTTCAGGTGCAATTGACAGCACTAAGGCCAGACCGCTGTTCAGTGTCCAAGGGAATCCACTTCAAGTGCATGGGAAGCAGTATACCCAGCTGTTCAGCTTGGCCGACTCAAAGGAAACATTGACATGACAGTGACAGATTCGGCAGAAAGCTTAGTTTCAGTCCATAGCTTAGTTGCCAAAGGACACGAAGTGCATTTCACTAAGGACGCTTGTTGGATGGTCACCAACCAAGGCGAAAACGTCCCACTTGAGCTCCATGGGAAAAGATGGTATCTCAAGGTTCAGCACTTCGCCGGTTCAGCAAGTCACGATGGCGGATCACCTTCGGGGAATCACCCGGAAGTCCACTGTCGGGTAGCACCGGTCGAAGCAGGTCAGAAGATTGAAGAGGAGAAGGAGCCTGATGAGTGGAGACGAGAGAAGAAAAATGGCAATGACTATCTCATTCGAGTTCACAACACTCCGAGATTCCAACTCTTTTCGCCGAGCAAGATGAAGGAGCTTCCTGTTTCGCTCCACTCCATCCTGCCAGGAAGATTGACAAAGATGGTGTTCAGTGAAAATGGAGAACAGGCCGAGGACGAAAGTCTTTGGACCAGACGAGGCACAGCGTCAAAGAACATGGGAAAGGAATGGCTTGGAGAAAGCTGGTTTCGATTGAAAGATGAAGAAGATGAGGAGACAGCCGAGGAGATTGACGAGAAAGAGCTGATGCCAGCAGGTATGGTGAATGTGGAAGCAACACAGGAGGAATCACTTCGATTGCTTGGGAAAGGAGAGAGCAGAGAGAAAGGAGATGCAGAAAGTGATGGATATGAACCTTCCATAGCTGTCACAGAGGATTTAGAGAAAGCCATGGATGTAGGCGAGCCTGAGGTGCACAAGGCAAACATTGAAGCACCACCGCAGCCTTCAGCAAAGGAGCGGGACGAACACAGGTTGCATCACGCAAATTTCGAAGCATGGTGTGAGGTATGTGTGCAAGGACAAGGCAAAGACAAGCACCACAAGCGCAAAGAGGAATCAAAGGAACATATCATCTACTCAGACTACTTGTTCTTCAACAAGGATGGACACATCATTGACAAGGAGACCGGATTGAAGCAGAAGGGCCTGGTGACGGTGTTGACAGCAATTTGCAAAGACAGCCAATTCCCGTTTGTCATTGTGGTACCAGCGAAAGGTGGCAACGAGTATGCCATCAAAGCGCTTATCACATGGATTGAGGAACTTGTTTGGGACAAAGTCACCATTCAGGTGGATCAAGAAAACTCACTGCACAAGCTCTATGATGAGGTCAAGAAGAGAATGCCGGAAAAGAAAGTCAAGCTGAGAAAATCACCTCGCTACAGTTCACAATCTTTGGCTGATGGCGAAATGGTGAATGGCTTGATTGCAGGAAAAGTCAGGACATGGATGGCCGAGATAAATGAGAACTACAAGATCAAAGCCAGCTGTGACCATTACATATTTCCTTGGGTGGTCAGACACTCAGCATGGACTTTGGCCAGGTTCCACATCAACAAAAGCAGAACGACTCCATATCGAATAATCTCAGGTGCCGAGTACACGGGCGAGCTGATTCCATTGGGAGAGACAGTGATGGCAAAGTTCCCTCGAGCAGCTAACGAGAAGTCAGCACCTAGGTGGATCAAAGGCATATATGGAGGCAAAACCAGCAGTTCCGATGAGCATCTTGTGCTCACAGAATCGGGAGCTCAGAAGTACCGCACTGTGAGGAGGTTACCAGTTGGTTCTCAGTACCAGAAGGAGACCTTCGACAAGATGCGGAGAGCACCGTGGAATGCAGTTTTGGGAATAACCAAAAGCAAGCCGGATGCAGTCGTATCCAGGAAGGCTTTGGTTTCAGCACCAGAACTGGCAAGCGAAGAGGTCTACGACTTCAAAGAAAAGCCAGAGCAAGAACAACCGTTGGCAATTGAAATTCCAGCGCCCATGGTTAGACTCCAGGAGAGCAAAAGAGAAGATCGAAAAGAGCCAAAGGAAGCTGCAAGCAGCAAAGAAAGCAAGATGACCGTGGATGATGAAGGAGAAAAGGTTGAGATTGAAGAACCAGATCCAAAGAGAGTCAAAGCAGAAGCAGCAGGTCAGGGTCAGCGGCAGCAAGTGCCGGACTACCGGAAAGGTATGACATAGCAACACCAGAAGATGCACAGATGAGCAGACGATCAACCGTAGAGGTTGAGGAGACCGAGGTCAGTACAACTCAAGACATGATCGCGGCAGTTGCTCAAAATGGTGAATGGAGATATGCAGGAGAGAAAAGAAAGACAGGTGGTCACTATGACAAAATACATGAGTACAAGAAATGGCTGGAAAAGAATGGAAGCTATTTTAGCAGTTCCACGCTAGCCAACATCATGGACTACCTCGACGATGTAACCAGAGACGAAGAAGTTCTCAGAGAAGCCAGGAAAGAAGAATTGAGAAAGCTGAATGAAGTCTATGGAGCTTTCAAACCCAGAGACAGAAGAGAATTCAGCAAAGAACTCACGGTGTTTGGACACAAATGGGTGGACAAAGTCACCGAAGGAATAGCGAAATCTCGATTGACATGCCAAGATTTCAAAAGAAAGAACCAAAGTGAAGACAAAGACAGTTCGGAAACACCTAGCAATTTCTGTCCTACTCCACACGAAGCATCAAAGAAGATGGTGGAGGTCTACAGTTTGTTGCACAACTTGCCAAGAGTCAAGGCGGATCTTTCATCGGCGTTCCTGATTGCGAAGGACCAGGGAGACAGCAAAGGCCAACCAGTCATGATAAAACCTCCACAGGAATGGTTGGAGGATTATGATGTCTGGTTAGTTCGCCAACCTAAGGAAATTCAGGACGAGCTGAAGGACGTGCCAGCCTCAGAAATTGTTTGGCAGGTTGATGGAAATTTGTATGGAAGACAATCAGCTGCAGCACAATACCGTGACAGACTGGAAGAAATACTGACAGAAAAAATTTCCCAAAGAAAAGTATTCTTTCACGAGGGGAAAACTGGATGCATGTGTTTACAAATTCAACTGACAGGGACAGTATTGATTCATCATGTGGATGATTTCGATGTCTGTGGACCAGAACATGTGTTGGTTGATTTGTTGACAAACCAGTTACCGTCAAAGGGTTGCAAACTGAAAATGGGAGACTTGGAATACCCAGGAAAGATGAGTGACAGAACGTCTGAGTTCTTGGGAAGAACCAAAATCAATGTTGAGGAAGCGGTTGTGACAAAACCAAACGCAAAACACATCAAAACAATTCTTCAGATGCTTGGATTGGAAAATGCGAAGCCGAGTCCTGTACCAGGGAGAAAACTTGAGTTGCAGAAAGACAAACCGTTGTCTCAAAACGAGAAAGAAACATACGCGAGTTGTGTCGGAAGTGCAATATACTTGTCTCAAGATCGACCAGACATAAAGTACAGTGTGAAAGAGCTAGCAAAACACATTCGTGAACCAAGGGAATGTGACATGCAGAACTTGAAGGTCTTGGGAAGGTATTTGAAAGGAACTCAGGAATATGGCCACGTCACCAAGGTTTCAGATGGTGTCACGACGAAGTCAGTGCCATTACAAGCATACTGTGACTCAGACTGGGCAGGTGATGGTGAAACCCGAAAATCAACGAGCGGCGTGGTAATTTACCTTGCTGGAACACTTGTTGAGTCAGGAGCTCATACACAGCAGGGGACCCCAGCCACTAGCTCGGGAGAAGCAGAGATCAGATCTCTGACAGAGTGTGCAAAAGCAACACTTTTCGTCAAGCACTTTGCAGAGACGGACTTTGGAATGGATGTTGACACGCCTAGGATTTGGTGTGATTCCAGTGCAGCATTACAAGCTTCTAGAAGAATGGGAGTTGGAAAGATGAGACATATTGCAGTTTCACATTTGTTCATACAAGAATTGGTCAAAACGAAACAGGTGATCATTGGAAAGGTGAAAGGCGAAAAGAACCCATCAGACGTCATGACAAAACACTTACCAACTGGAGAAGCAATGAAACGAGCAATTGAGATGTTAGGTATGATAGACCTTACACAAGAAGGCTTGGACAGACACGTGACAAAGCACAAAATGAAGGCAATAGGAGCACTCAACGATGAGACCCAGGAGGGAAGCAACAACAAGAACAAGAAATTCAAACAATGGCAGCCGTGTATCAGCTCTGAGCGCTGTGAACCGTAGCAAGAAACATGGGGGAAAACCCACTGACTGTGATGACGCCCATGTTCTTGCCGGGCAACACCGGGTTGACTGTACTTGAGCTTTTGCTAGTCATTAGCCTAGTTCTCAACCTGATGTTCCTGTGCGGCTGTTCGGTAGCATTTTGCTGCTGGATTTTTAAGCCGGGTCGTCAAAAGACGCACCACGAGCATGTCTGGATCACACGCTACAGTGAGAGGGCCCATGCAACCAAAGAATGCCCTACTCTCGCCAACAGCGTTGACGCAAAGAAATTTAGGATGTGCTCGAAATGTTTTAAAGTTTTGGTCGACATAGACCGAAAAGACAAATGAGCCCAATACAGGCAACAAATCAGGGGATTAGAGCCACGCTTTAAGGAGGGTGCAAGAAATCCTCAGCTGAAATAGCTGGTTCTTGTAAAGCATGCCTCTGAGTTGCCAGATACGCAAACCCTGCACCGCTAGCCCATATAGGCTTTGGTGAAAAGAGTGAAAGCCGTTTTCGCACTAACCCCCATTTATAGAATGTGTAATTCCATAAAAATAACCAGTTATAACTATAACTAGTCCCCACTTATAGAATGTATAATCCCATAGAAATAACCAGTTATAACTATAACTAATCCCCATTTATAGAATGTATAATCCCAGAGAAATAACCAGTTATAACTATAACTAACCCCCATTTATAGAATGTAATAATCCCATAGAAATAACCAGTTATAACTATAACTAATCCCCATTTATAGAATGTGTAATCCCATAGAAATAACCAGTTATAACTATAACTAATCCCCATTTATAGAATGTGTAATCCCATAGAAATAACCAGTTATAACTATAACTAACCCCCAGTTATAGAATGTAGAACCCCATAGAAACCACCAGTTATAACTGTAGCTAATCCCCATTTATAGAATGTATAATTCCACAGAAATAACTAGGTTATCAAATTGATAGAAATAGAACACATATTTATTTATGAATATGTTCAGCCGTCTTGCATATGTTGTTTGATGTAAATCGGGAACATAAAGAAACAACATCTATTGTACTGCGAGATACTGCGAGCAAAGTCATGTTTGCTTGTGTAAGTTGCTTCTTACCATTTCCTACTATACTCTCCATTCACATCTGTGCAAGTAGATACTGGACGATACTGGGCACTGACCAATGTGGCAAGGTGAATAAGGTCCGACCTTCACAGACTCCAAATATAACTCTAAGTCTTTGGTGTGTCAGTGTAAATGCTGCGGATATACCATATATATATAAATATGTTATAGACTATATACTATAGTACATGTAACATATGATTACATATGCCTTTAAAGAAACACAAACTTGGTAATATTGGTATGTTTTAGTTGTTTAGAACTCACAGACAAACTCTAAATTCAAACGTATCATTTTTGTGCAGATGGAGAATTGCAACTAGATGTAAACAGATGTAACTGGATTTGTTTGCAGTTTGCAGTTGAATGTAACGATTTCCTGTGGGAAGAACTGTGTTTTCTTCTTGAGACAAACACCCGATGTGGCAGACACGCAGGCAAACAACGAACATGAGACGGAGCAATCCCCGACCCAGCCACCATCTGGCGAAGACACGGGCGAAGAGAAAGGAGAAGACAAGGGGGAAGATAATGGTGAAGACAATGCGAACGAGGTGCTCTGGGCTGGTCAGTCAGAACCGAATGAGTCTGAATCTTGATATGTGCTTGGCCCTTCTCACAGATTGGAACCTTTTCTGCTTTTGGTTTGTCCATGTACTTGATACTGGGGGCAGAATGTTCTACTTTCCGACAAAGGGTGTGGTGTTTTTGTTGTGTGTTGACCTCATAGGCTATAACATGCCAGCACTCTAGTCTGAGCTTTCATTATCTGCTGATGAAGCATACTTATCTACACACAATCTTCCTGTAGATTTGTGTTGCTGTTTGCCTGTGACTTTTGGCTTTTGGGAACGGCGCCACTGGTGCAAACAAATCTGTGTCTGCCCCATAGTCTTAAGAATCTTGGCTGCGCTGCCTCTATGTGTGGTACATGATTTATCCAGACATATTTATACATCTCAAAGATTTTCCAAATTTTGGCGCGCCCAACTCCATCTAAAACTTGTAGCGATTTCTTTCTTGCTGGCAGGTGATGTACGAGTCATTTTGTCAGCATGGCACTGACAGGATTCCCTGTTGGTAGGAATGTGTATTCTTTTGATGACAAGCATTCACACGCAGGGCAACAACGAAACTGAGACGGAGCAATCGCAGACCCAGCCACCATCTGGTGAAAACAAGGGCGAAGAGAAAGGTGAAGACAAGGGTGAAGAGAAAGGTGAAGACAACACGAATGAGGTGCTTTGGGCCGATTTCACTCAGAAACGACGGATCTTACAGTCTGGACATTTTTTTCACACATTGGAACTCTGTAAAGGGGTGTGGAAGCCTAATGATATAGTACGTACCAAAAAAGCACAATGAAATGATGTACATTCTGCGGTCTTTAAGTCCAACCTTAAAGATGTTTCTTGACAGGGACTGATTAGATGCAATTTTGGTTGTTTCGCAGCTTACAGTTGGCTATTCTGGCTTTGAGGTTGCCGACACTAGTGTGAGCAAGTGTTTTTTGTTAAGGTTTTGTTTTTTTCAGTCTTCCGGATTTTATTCGGGCTACTTGTCTTTAATTCAGCATGGTGCCTTCATTGCAATTCATCACAGGTTTGAACCTTTTCTGCCTTTGACCTGTTCATCTGGTTAACACCGGGGCAAAGTTTTTGCATTCGGACAAACGGCACGGCATGTTTTTTTGTTGACCTCAAAGGCTTCCACATGTTTCTGCAGATGAAGCGATGAAAGTATACTTATATATATATAACTATATAGATAAAAGCCTTGCTGTCGATTTTCTGCTGCTATTTGCCTAAAACTTTTGGTTTTGGGAATGGCGACGCCGGTGTAAGCAAATGCTTGGTTACCCCATAGTACTGGAACGTGTTTGTGCAAGCTTTACACTCCTCACTCCACACTTTACATTCCACATTCTACACTTTACACTTTGCACTTTACACTCCTCACTCCACACTTTACACTCCACACTTTACACTCCACACTTTACGCTCCACACTCCACACTTTACGCTCCACACTCCACACTCCACACTTTACACTCCACACTTTACACTTTACACTTTACATTCCTCACTCCACACTCAACACTTCACACTTCACACTCCACACTTTACACTTTGCACTCCTCACCCCACACTTTACACTCCGCACTCCACACTTTACACTCCACACTTTACACTCTACACTCCGCACTCCGAGCCCGACACTTTCCACTCCACACTCCACACTTTACACTCCACACTCTACACTTTACACTCTACGCTTTACACTCTACACTCCACGCTCCAAACTCTAGACTTTACACACTGCAGTACTACTGTGTACTAAAAAGCTTGACGTTGTACTACACAGCTTGCACAAAGCACTTCCCAGTACTACTTTGTACTACAACTCCAGTACTACTTTGTACCACAAAGCTTGCACAAAGCACTTCCCAGTACTACTTTGTACTGCAAAGCTTGCACAAAGCACTTCCCAGTACTACTTTGTACTACAAAGCTTGCACAAAGCACATTCCAGTACTACTGTGTACTACAAAGCTTGCACAAACACGTTCCCAGTACTACTGTGTACTACACAGCTTGCACAAAAATGTTTCAGTACTACCGTGTACTACAAAGCTTGCGCAAAGCCGTGCGCAGTACGACTGTGTACTACAAAGCTTGCACAAAGTCGTTCCCAGTACTGCTGTGTACTACAAAGCTTGCACAAAGCACTTCCCAGTACTACTGCGTACTACAAAGCTTGCACAAGCAGAGACGAAGGTTTTGCAGCTTCCCCCGTAGACACGGTGACGGCAATTTTTGCGCAGCAAAACAAACGAAGTTTTACAGCTTTCCCCATAGACACGGGGACGCCACAGGACAAGTAGAATTGGAGGTTTTGCAGCTTCCCCCAAAGACACGGCGACACCAGAGGACAAGGAGAGACACAGGTTTTGCAGCTTCGCCCATAGACACGGCGACGCCAGAACCAGGTTTTGCAGCTTTCCCCATAGACACGGCGACGCCACAGGACAAGCAGAAACGGAGGTTTTGCAGCTTCCCCATAGACACGGCGATGCCAGAACGAGGTTTTGCAGCTTCCCCCATAGACACGGCGACGCCAGAGGACAAGCAGAAACGGAGGTTTTGCACAGACACGGCGACGCGGTTTTGCAGCTTCCCCCATACACACGGCGACGCCAGAGGACAAGCAGAGACAGAGGTTTTGCATGGTTTTGCAGCTTCCCTCATAGACACAGCGACGTCGGAAAGAGGTTTTGCACCTTCCCCCATAGAGACGGCGACGCCAGAGGAGAAGCAGAGACTGAGGTTACGCAGCTTTCCCCATCGACACGAAATTAACGACGCGAAAAACGATGCGAAAACGACGCGAAAAACGACGCGAAAACCTCGCAAAAAACGTCGCGACGACCAACTGGAGGCGAACAAGGGTCCAGCCCCCAGACCCCTAGATTATAAACGGGAACCCTTTGCTTCGCATTCGGGAAAAATACATGATATAGGTAAACAAATAGATTTGATATATATATATATATATATATTTATATATATATGCGTATATGCGTAAAAATACCACGACGTCACGAAAGTGATGGTTGGCAAGGAGATCGTCCCTACCGGGCATGATTTCGGCATGGGGACTCCATTTCATCCTTGGGGGGCATTCTGAAGCACACCCAAAGCATGTTTGGCTTAAACATCTTTGTTTGGGGACACTCCCTTATGATTAATTTCTATTACCATAAATTATTACTATTGCTACGAAATCGTGCTTCATCCCACGAATCGTTGGGGTAGGTTTTGACACCAATTCTTTTTTGTGGATGACCCCTAGAAGAAATCCAATTCGATCTCACTTTATCACATGGCTCACTATCAGAGTTGACTCAACAGCACGCTGCCAGGAGCTTGAACAGGCCAAACAGGAGGCCATCGGTGCGTTGGTCAGGAACCCTCGTTGCAAAACTCGCAGTGATGTCTGCTAGATCCATTCATTGTGTCTGTTTGTACCTATGTGTGCGTATACACATATATATATAATTATATATATATAGTTTTTTATGCACAAGCGATTATTTACAACTATATGTATATATATATATACATGTATATATATATATATACTAATATAAATACATACAAAAGTGCATGCAAATGTGTATAATGATATATTGGTATGAGCATTCACGGGTGAACTAATCCGAAAAACATGCCCATTCCGAAGTTCATCGGGTGCCGGGAGCCGCAACGCCCCGGAGGTCTCCAACTTGAGTGAACAGATGGAGAATTCCGGTCAGTTCGAGATGGAGAGGCCACGGGGTGCCTGGGTGCAGCCTGGGTTCAACCCTGGAGCTGATAAGTCTTGGACGAAAACATGGCACCAAATCGGGCAAAGTTGAGACCAAAACAGCATGTGAACAATGTTCAAAGCCGTTGATGATGAGTTTGGGAGGTACCGTCTGGTCAACTAAAATAGCTTTTGAAAATCACCATTTTGAATAGGTAAACCAACTATAAATGGGGTATTTTCAATAGCTATGTTAAATAGCCAGAGGGTATATATCCGGCCCAATATCTCGGTAATCACCATACATGAACTGGGAAATCCGTAGTTTTGGGAGTTGAAGACCCAGATCCTGCCAAGACAGCGGATGACGGTCGCAGGGCAAAGAAGATCTGGAAGTAAGCTTTAAATACTCTAGGATAGCCCCGTTTGTTGTCAAGTGTCGCATTCTTAAAATCTTCCATCGCCGTCTATCAGCTACTATTTGGTATGTCGCATGTGGTTGGTCAACGTTTTCTGGAATTGTTTCATTCCCCAAGCCATTCGATCTCTTCAACCCCAGGTTCGAATGGGTGCCATTTTTCAAAAACTGTGCGTTTAGATTTCATGATTGTTAATTGTTGATTGTTCATTATTCATGGTCAAATCTACCTGTTTCTCAACAGTTCTGAAGTAAATCTAGTAAATAGATACTTTGTCGAAAAAAGTGCAGCAATGAAGCAGTGTTGGGAATAAAGCCATGCTGGAACATGTTATTGAAAACGTAGGCTTACCGTTTTAGCATCCCTGTTTCCCACAATAATGATGCGCCAACATGGTCTTGAAGATGTGTTGCATTAAATTGTTGGGGTTTACATGGGTAATAGACTCAGCCAAGTTCCAGGTATAATGTGGTAAACCCAATAATACTCCATCCTAGATATTACCATAGATTGGTGGGATTCCAACCATCCCCAAATGGTAGTTGTTTATGACAGTGGCTTTACCACATGAGTCAAGAACTCGCTATTTTTCTTATTTTGCCATCTCCACTCTGGTTGTTTAACAACCGGAAAATCATCGTCTATAATAGGTAAATCATCAGAAATGGGCCAGTTTCCATCGCTTTGTGGATTGCGAAATCTTGCACCAAAAGGATGGTTGCAACCCTAATTTCGCTGTCAACTGGTGCTTGGTGGTGCTTGGTGATAGGAAGTGCAATCCCTAATTTATAATGGGATGTTTACCACCTCCCTCAACTGGTGGGACTTCCACAGATCGGTCCCTTCGTGCCAGGCAAAAGAGCGTGGGCTTGAACGAGGCGGGAAGATTTTGCGCGTCGGGAAAGATGTGGGTTTGTCGAAAAATGATGAAAAATGAAGGAAACTGCCAAAGTTGTGATGATCGAGTGATAGTGTAATTCTTAAAGAATATCCAAGATCAGAGATGCAAAAAAAATTATTGGATGACCATGCCAGTGAGTAACTTAGTTATCTATCGCATCGTCGGCAAAGTACCCAGTAAGATATCTTTGTTAAATACATAAATAAATATATATATATATATCTCAAAACCAGGGATATCCTACTACTTACGTACGATTTGTTGGATGAGTCAATTTCTTTTGGTAAAAACAATGCTATAATCCCATTAAACCACCATGTTTCCATTTTTTGCCGGTTACAATCCCATCAAGATCCCATTTATACATGGTTTAGCACCAGGGTTTGATGGATTATGGTCAAGCAAAAACAATGGAAGTAACCAATAACTATTCAAATAAACGAATAAATAAAACATATTCTTAACTCGTTCTCTAACATCACCCAGTATGGCCCTTACGTTTTTTTCATAAGCAGTTAGATCCTTAGTCTAATGAACCAATCATTTTATACAGTATAGTCTAATGATTCACTTGACTTGGTTTATTCAGATAATTCATTGAGTTTAAACGATGAGTAGTCAAATCAATTTCAAATATGTTTACTAATAATCCTCGACCCTCCACTGCCGAGGAAAAAATGGTCGTTCAAAGAAGATAGGTCAAACAAACCAAAAAATGATTCACTTTGTTCCAAACATGTATGTTTCGGGGAAAATCTCAGCACTACGGCCGGGTACACAAACCGTGATGATTTTTGGAACAGCAAAAAAAACCGAAAACTACCTAAAACAACGAGATTTCAGGATTTGCGGGTTGTTGCGTTTTTTTTGCGGTTTTTTGCGGGGTTTTGCGGGTTTTCTCCCTAGTCGTTTGATGCGCTGCAAACATTTTTTGGCCTTTGTCTCACCAAGCCCAAAATCATGCAATCAAAGTCCTAAAATCGAAGACCAAAGTAGTATCTAGGTGTTTTGGGTAAAATCAGTCGACATAGGTCAAATTCCGAAAACACCTATAGTTTTCTAGGATTTGGAGGGTCGAGGATAGTAATGATCATTAGTCATGAGTAGCAGATCATAATTCATATTATTTAATATTATTGTGATTATTAGTAAACTATAGTCTATAGTTACTATTCATTGTTACTGTAAGTAGTTTATTTAGCACTACAAAAATGACGATAGTCGTAATAACAATAATCATGAGACTTGACAATGATCATTTAATTATGAGTACATAAATGATTATTATAATAATTCACTGGTTATTAATAATAGACACTAGTCAGTACAATGATAGTACTAATAATGAATATAACTACTATAGTACTATTCATTTTCGCCAATTTAAGATATCTATGCTCTTTCCCAATTCATTAAAAAACACATGAACAACATGTTCATTAGTAAATTCATGTTCACAACATATGTTCATTCCAACTGGAGGCGAACAAGGGTCCAGCCCCCAGACCCCTAGATTATAAACGGGAACCCTTTGCTTCGCATTCGGGAAAAATACATGATATAGGTAAACAAATAGATTTGATATATATATATATTTATATATATATGCGTATATGCGTAAAAATACCACGACGTCACGAAAGTGATGGTTGGCAAGGAGATCGTCCCTACCGGGCATGATTTCGGCATGGGGACTCCATTTCATCCTTGGGGGGCATTCTGAAGCACACCCAAAGCATGTTTGGCTTAAACATCTTTGTTTGGGGACACTCCCTTATGATTAATTTCTATTACCATAAATTATTACTATTGCTACGAAATCGTGCTTCATCCCACGAATCGTTGGGGTAGGTTTTGACACCAATTCTTTTTTGTGGATGACCCCTAGAAGAAATCCAATTCGATCTCACTTTATCACATGGCTCACTATCAGAGTTGACTCAACAGCACGCTGCCAGGAGCTTGAACAGGCCAAACAGGAGGCCATCGGTGCGTTGGTCAGGAACCCTCGTTGCAAAACTCGCAGTGATGTCTGCTAGATCCATTCATTGTGTCTGTTTGTACCTATGTGTGCGTATACACATATATATATAATTATATTTATATATATATAGTTTTTTATGCACAAGCGATTATTTACAACTATATGTATATATATATATACATGTATATATATATACTAATATAAATACATACAAAAGTGCATGCAAATGTGTATAATGATATATTGGTATGAGCATTCACGGGTGAACTAATCCGAAAAACATGCCCATTCCGAAGTTCATCGGGTGCCGGGAGCCGCAACGCCCCGGAGGTCTCCAACTTGAGTGAACAGATGGAGAATTCCGGTCAGTTCGAGATGGAGAGGCCACGGGGTGCCTGGGTGCAGCCTGGGTTCAACCCTGGAGCTGATAAGTCTTGGACGAAAACATGGCACCAAATCGGGCAAAGTTGAGACCAAAACAGCATGTGAACAATGTTCAAAGCCGTTGATGATGAGTTTGGGAGGTACCGTCTGGTCAACTAAAATAGCTTTTGAAAATCACCATTTTGAATAGGTAAACCAACTATAAATGGGGTATTTTCAATAGCTATGTTAAATAGCCAGAGGGTATATATCCGGCCCAATATCTCGGTAATCACCATACATGAACTGGGAAATCCATAGTTTTGGGAGTTGAAGACCCAGATCCTGCCAAGACAGCGGATGACGGTCGCAGGGCAAAGAAGATCTGGAAGTAAGCTTTAAATACTCTAGGATAGCCCCGTTTGTTGTCAAGTGTCGCATTCTTAAAATCTTCCATCGCCGTCTATCAGCTACTATTTGGTATGTCGCATGTGGTTGGTCAACGTTTTCTGGAATTGTTTCATTCCCCAAGCCATTCGATCTCTTCAACCCCAGGTTCGAATGGGTGCCATTTTTCAAAAACTGTGCGTTTAGATTTCATGATTGTTAATTGTTGATTGTTCATTATTCATGGTCAAATCTACCTGTTTCTCAACAGTTCTGAAGTAAATCTAGTAAATAGATACTTTGTCGAAAAAAGTGCAGCAATGAAGCAGTGTTGGGAATAAAGCCATGCTGGAACATGTTATTGAAAACGTAGGCTTACCGTTTTAGCATCCCTGTTTCCCACAATAATGATGCGCCAACATGGTCTTGAAGATGTGTTGCATTAAATTGTTGGGGTTTACATGGGTAATAGACTCAGCCAAGTTCCAGGTATAATGTGGTAAACCCAATAATACTCCATCCTAGATATTACCATAGATTGGTGGGATTCCAACCATCCCCAAATGGTAGTTGTTTATGACAGTGGCTTTACCACATGAGTCAAGAACTCGCTATTTTTCTTATTTTGCCATCTCCACTCTGGTTGTTTAACAACCGGAAAATCATCGTCTATAATAGGTAAATCATCAGAAATGGGCCAGTTTCCATCGCTTTGTGGATTGCGAAATCTTGCACCAAAAGGATGGTTGCAACCCTAATTTCGCTGTCAACTGGTGCTTGGTGGTGCTTGGTGATAGGAAGTGCAATCCCTAATTTATAATGGGATGTTTACCACCTCCCTCAACTGGTGGGACTTCCACAGATCGGTCCCTTCGTGCCAGGCAAAAGAGCGTGGGCTTGAACGAGGCGGGAAGATTTTGCGCGTCGGGAAAGATGTGGGTTTGTCGAAAAATGATGAAAAATGAAGGAAACTGCCAAAGTTGTGATGATCGAGTGATAGTGTAATTCTTAAAGAATATCCAAGATCAGAGATGCAAAAAAAATTATTGGATGACCATGCCAGTGAGTAACTTAGTTATCTATCGCATCGTCGGCAAAGTACCCAGTAAGATATCTTTGTTAAATACATAAATAAATATATATATATATATCTCAAAACCAGGGATATCCTACTACTTACGTACGATTTGTTGGATGAGTCAATTTCTTTTGGTAAAAACAATGCTATAATCCCATTAAACCACCATGTTTCCATTTTTTGCCGGTTACAATCCCATCAAGATCCCATTTATACATGGTTTAGCACCAGGGTTTGATGGATTATGGTCAAGCAAAAACAATGGAAGTAACCAATAACTATTCAAATAAACGAATAAATAAAACATATTCTTAACTCGTTCTCTAACATCACCCAGTATGGCCCTTACGTTTTTTTCATAAGCAGTTAGATCCTTAGTCTAATGAACCAATCATTTTATACAGTATAGTCTAATGATTCACTTGACTTGGTTTATTCAGATAATTCATTGAGTTTAAACGATGAGTAGTCAAATCAATTTCAAATATGTTTACTAATAATCCTCGACCCTCCACTGCCGAGGAAAAAATGGTCGTTCAAAGAAGATAGGTCAAACAAACCAAAAAATGATTCACTTTGTTCCAAACATGTATGTTTCGGGGAAAATCTCAGCACTACGGCCGGGTACACAAACCGTGATGATTTTTGGAACAGCAAAAAAAACCGAAAACTGCCTAAAACAACGAGATTTCAGGATTTGCGGGTTGTTGCGTTTTTTTTGTGGTTTTTTGCGGGGTTTTGCGGGTTTTCTCCCTAGTCGTTTGATGCGCTGCAAACATTTTTTGGCCTTTGTCTCACCAAGCCCAAAATCATGCAATCAAAGTCCTAAAATCGAAGACCAAAGTAGTATCTAGGTGTTTTGGGTAAAATCAGTCGACATAGGTCAAATTCCGAAAACACCTATAGTTTTCTAGGATTTGGAGGGTCGAGGATAGTAATGATCATTAGTCATGAGTAGCAGATCATAATTCATATTATTTAATATTATTGTGATTATTAGTAAACTATAGTCTATAGTTACTATTCATTGTTACTGTAAGTAGTTTATTTAGCACTACAAAAATGACGATAGTCGTAATAACAATAATCATGAGACTTGACAATGATCATTTAATTATGAGTACATAAATGATTATTATAATAATTCACTGGTTATTAATAATAGACACTAGTCAGTACAATGATAGTACTAATAATGAATATAACTACTATAGTACTATTCATTTTCGCCAATTTAAGATATCTATGCTCTTTCCCAATTCATTAAAAAACACATGAACAACATGTTCATTAGTAAATTCATGTTCACAACATATGTTCATTCGTAATGACATGGAGTTAACCTCCCGTCCTTTTCGGCTCGTAGGCGTTGGCGGTGACGCAGTCGCAAGTGAAGGATCTCTGGGCCAAGGTCTGCTCGGTGACGTGCCTTGGAATCCTTGGCGCGGCGATGGCTTCGTTAGAACACATGGGAATTTGAAGCACCAAACGTTGGGGGAAAAACGCATCAAAGAACGCATGAAAAACGTGGAATTCCACGTGTTTCTTATAGTCGGATTATGACATGGTTATCTGATGATGAGGATTTTAATATAGAGATGTTCCTTATCATTGTCAAAGATAATAACCAGAAAAAGGGATATGGGGATTAGGATTTTGTCCTACCATTAGGGATAGGGATTTAGGGATATTTAGGGACTTTTTATCTGGGAAAAATTGAACAATTAGGCAATTTCCATGATTTTTAAGCGCCGCAATTGGAAATTGGTATTTAATGGAATTATATAGCGGGAATTTTGCAGGAAATGGCTCATCCCACGAATCGTAGGTGCCATCCCTGATTTTGTTGCTGGGAAGGTTAATCAAGTTACAACTGGGGTCATGACCCACCTACTAAGCATAGGATGAGGCAAGTAGAGGGCTTGGTGTACCACCGAAGGTCTAGGAGTCTAGGCCAGGGCTTTGTGGCACTTCGGGATTTAAATGGAATCAACCTGGCTTAACCACTAAAGCATATTAAAGAATAGGGATTTCACTATCAGATCTATCAGGATTTAGCTGTCCAGAAATGGGATGAATAGATTGACCCAACCAGCTCAAAACTATATATTTTTGGTAGGGTACCTGGTATGAGTCATGAGGTTAATAAAAAGGAAGGTATACGACTTGTCTATACTAATCATTTTATAATGCCATATGCATCAAAATTACCCAAAAAATCTTACATGATAGATATATGCAATCACATATCATCAAATTATACGCTCTTGATACTTTTTCACAGTTCGCTGTGGAAACTCACCATTTTCAATGGGTAATTCATGGAACTCGCCGTGGGCCCGTGGGCTTTGCGGCTTTGCCTTGGAGTGTTAGGTCCGCTTCGGAAGTGCTGCAGCAGGCCCGGATTTCCTGTGAGATCAACTACTTGGAAACTATGTCCGTAAGGTTTGAGAAGCATCAGGATGGGATATGTTCTCTTTAGATTCCCAAATGGTGGATTTCCTAGGATATTCAGTCAAGTATGAGACATGCACAAACACATATTTATAGGTGTGTATATATATATATACATACACATAAACTAGATCTAGCTAAAACATGGACTCAGGCAGATAGATAGTATATGCGCAATCCTAACTTGCACACTGGGGAGCCCGAGTCGATCGGTTTCTGAAGGCCCCAATTCCTCGGGTTGTCCCAAACTGAATTAAACTACAATCACGATGGTTATGAAACAGTTGCAAGGCACGTATATCCAATAGCCATCTATGGATAATATTGCTTAAGCAATGTTAAGCAGTCATATTGATCATTTTTAGATATAATAGCCTTATTCAACCACCTGGTTGTTGGTGGTTTATATTCGACCTATCCAAAAAGCCATATCCCCGTGTCCTCATGACCGTTCTGATTGATCGGATTTATTGGGTTTCCGTGGGATTTTGAACATCGAAAAATGGCGAAAAGGGGTGATTTAACCATCAGACACGGAGATTTAACCATCAAAAATCAGGATTTAGATTGTGGATATAATGCGAAATTCCGTATCTCTCTCTCTATATATATAATATACACTTAATGATGCCTTTTAAAACCCAGCCAAGTGAAGGTGATTTAATCGTCAAGACCTTTATTGGGTGCCAACCAAGCCATTTATGGGGATTTACATCAAAATAATCTGAATTACGGGTATTTAGCCAATGTTTTTTCATTACCCATCCGAGGTTGGCTCAGTATATCTGCAGTAACTGCAGCAACCACCAAAACGATGCAGAAGAAGTTAGATACGATTTGACTTTGCTGCATCAGTTTTGTTGGGTGCTATAAGTGCTACATAACCAACATGGTTAGGGTATGATTGTCGTAGTTGGTTCTTTGATGATGATATGGAATGAGTAGGTTTAGTGTTGGTTTGTATCCTTTGTTTCTTCATTATTTTGAACCTGGTTGGTGGTTTGGAACATATTTTTTCCACATATATATATATATATATTACTGCCAGTACTCCTACTGAAAGTGGGGGACGAAAGTTTGCACTCACCGCGGCCTTTAGGCTTCAGTTCAAAAGTCGCAGGCCATTTCGGGGGACCCTAGGGTCAGACTTGGGTGGCCTGCGGGCTGGACTGGATTTGACGGCCCGAGGGCCAGAGTTAGCAGGGGAGGGGCCTGCGGGCTGGACAATCCTCCCTTGCTGAAATGCCGGGGTTGTGGATTCATCTTGGTGACAACCCTGACTTCTACGAAAGCTTCACCCTGGAAAAAGGATCCTATGTGGAGACCAACTTGTACGACGGCTCACATGAAGAACAGGGCAAAGGCCTATGGAGGATTGTCGCCGCCGATGCCCGAAGAAAAGAAGGGCTTTGGACCACAGCCAAGCTATTGGCGGTTAGTGACCCTCATTTGCATTGGTGGCATAGTGAGGGGCCAGGGAAAGAAGCGTCACACGAGTTCAATCTTCACTTTTGCACCACGGTGGAGAAGGAGTGCACGAAGACCAAGAGAAGGCCCACACATGAGTTTCATACTGACTATTTCAGGACGTTGGACGCCTCGGACTTGACCGGCTCCAAGGTTAGCTGGTTTCGACATCCTCCGGCAGCCGCCGATGTGGCGTTGGAGGTGACCAAGTTGACCGGTGGCACCCCGCGGGGTAGGGACCGCCGAGGGCTGAAGAAAACACAGGCCCAAGCAGGAAACCTCGACTGGGAGGAGCCAGACGATGAAGTGCTTCCCAATTTGGAGGCTCTTGAAGGTGAAGGGGTGACTCAGAGACTAGCTGAGTTGAAACGTCAGACTGGCCGTGAGCAACCCAAGGAGAAAAAGAAGTCACCCCGAAAGAGGAGTCGAAGTCGAAGGAGGAAGCGCCGTAGCACCTCCAGCTCAGAGAAGGAAAAGAAGAAGGAAGGCCCTATGTGGTTCGGCAAGAGGAGATCACCTTCCCCTCGTCGTGGGAAACGCCGCCGCTCGAGGAGCAAGAGCCCCAAGAAGGATGATGAAGACAAGAAAAAGAAGAAAAGGTCTCGCTCCACGAGTGGAAGTCCTCGAGACAGGAAACAGCGACGTGGGTCACACGCAGACCGTGGCCCCTATGGAGTGGGACAAAAACAAAGGTATGACGGAAAAGACACCAGCAGCCGATCTTCCCAGGAAGATGATGATGATCGCGATACAGTTTTTCGCGCGGGGCCCTCAGGAACGTCGAAGCATCTTCAGCTCCAGGAGTCCGCAGAGAAGAAGCCGGGCCGGTTGACGGCCAGACTGTTGCGGAAGATGAGGGACGTCCTTGCCCGAGGGGAGGGCCCCGGAATGATCGGGCTGGATCTCACACCGGCGTCGGCCTCGTCATACTTTCTGACAGTGATAGTTCCTACGTACAAGGAACGTCTGTCACTGAGGACGAGCCGCGAGCTGCGGTCGATAGCCAAGGCCTTGGACCTGCTGGCTCAGGGTCACAACGACTGAGCGGGGGATGTTCTCAGCCAACGTTACAAAGCGTTGGAACTATCGCTGTCGGACCAGACATGGGCTCGAGCTCAATTTTTGGAGCTCATTCCTCCCGAGGGAGCGTCCTTGGTGGAGAAAGACGAGATGTTGATGGCTTCCAAGGAGCAGACGGTCGAGCAGAAAATGAAGAACCAGCTGGCGGGAGGCCTCTGGAGACACCCTCAAAAGGGGGACGCTCGAAACGATGCAAAAGGAAAGACCAAAGGAAAAGGGAGAGGCAAGAAGGGCCGAGGCCCGGCTCCGGGCTGGCAAGCGGCAACCGAGCAGGACAAGCCTCCGGCCTCTTAAGGCCAAATGAGCCTTTTAAGGCAGAGCCTCTGACTGCGGTCAAGACAAAGGCTAGAAAACCGAGGAGCCCTTTGGCTCGAAACCGCAAGAAGCGGGCACCGCCTGCGGGCGAGCATGCAACTGAGGCGGACATGGAACCCGAGGTCCCCTCTGACTTGTCAGAAGATCCAAATGGATGTCCCGTGAACCTGAGGCAAATAAACATGAGGCTGACTGAGGACTTGGCCGAATGGAGCAGTCAGGTGAAGGATGTCTTCAAGTTGAGAATGTCATTCACTGACCTGGGCCGCCACCTGTTGGGTCTGATGTCAACCATGCCTACGCCCTTGGGAAACTTTACCCGCTCTTTTTGCCTGGCTGCGCAACCCCTCACCTCTTCTGGGGCTGATTCCAAGGAATCGCATGGTGATCTGCTTCCTATTCCAGTGTGGCGGATTTCAACTGGGATCCCAGACGTTACCGATGAAAATGTGGATTGGGTGAAAGCCCTCATCACTACGATCAACTTTCAGTACTGCACAGGGTGGGCAAAGCCCGTATGCGTACCGGCCAAGGATGTCCTCTCTCCCGTGCAGAGGGAGGCAATTGCCCGAATGGCTCGGGTTATTGATGCCAACATTTTGACAAGTGAGCAGCTTCTACCTTTTGGAGAATGTGACAAGATCCTGAACTCCAAGAAGTATGACTACGCTGGTAGGCCGGTTGAGTACATGGAGGACCTCGTGTGCGAGAGAATCCTCCCAGCCTGGCCAAGGAGGGGGACAAGCTGCCATTCAGCCCCTGGAGGCTTTCCTGACACCGGAGACAAAGAAGCTACTAGAGGACCCCTCCAAGCTGCTTCTGCCCCCTGAAAAGATGCCGACCAACGTAGCTACGTCAAAGGTGCGAGCCACAGAGCAGGAGTGGTTCAAGATTGTCCGAGCAGCTTCGGAACGTGGAATGATGCGCCCAGTTGACGATGCGGCGGTGCCTCGAGACCGAGGTGGGCATCTGATTGTCAACGGGGCAGGGGCAGTTCACAAGGAAAAGATGGTGGATGGGCGCCCAGTGGCATGTCAACGTTTCATCTCCATTCTGTGCCCCATCAACTCAGTCACAACTCCCGTTGCTGGTTCACAGGACACGCTTCCTTACGTGGGCCAGCTGACCGCGCTGATGTTGGAGGAAGATGAGTCACTTTATTTGGAGAGTGAGGATCTTCAAAGTGCCTTCAACCTGTTCTCAGTCCCAGATCAGTGGCTGGGATACTTCAGCTATGCCAAGAAGGTTGACGGAGCTCCATGGGCCTCGAGAGCGGCACGATGGTGAGGCCTGCCTTATCAGTGGTGCCGATGGGCTGGCATAGTGCTGCGGGGTGGGTACAAGAAGCAGTCCGAGATTTGGTTTTCCGACGGGCTGGAATCCCAAAGGCCCTCTCTGCGGAGAAGAACAGGCCTCTACCCCCGGGAAAAAGCTTTGCGGTAGTGTACCTGGACAATTATGATGAAATCGAGGTGGTCAAGACGGTTGACCTGGAGCTCACAAGGAGGGACAAGAGATGACGGAGTACCACCAGAAATTCAATCAGGCCTGCGATGAGGCAGGGCTGCCCCGCAATGCAGGAAAACAGCTGATTCATGCCGTGGCTGGCGGCATGCAAGGCGGCTTCTTTGATGGCCGTCGTGGGATCCTGAAACTGGGACCAGACAAGCTGCGAAACTACATCCAGCTGTCCTTGGCGCTGATGGCAAAACGCCCTTGGGGTGAGTATCACTTGCGTCACTGGACGGGAAAGACAGCCTTTATGGCCACCTTCCGCCGCTCTTTGTTCTCCGGCCTTGGACGAGTGTTTGATTCAATCGAATTGAGCCGAAAAGGGGACGTGGCTCCTACTTCAGCCGTGGTGGATGAGATCATGGTCTTGTGTTGCCAAGCAGTCCTCAGTCAGGCAAATCTGAGGGCCACATTGTCAAAGGAGATCTCTTGCACAGATGCCTCACCAACTGGAGGAGGAAGTGGAACTGCCACCACCTTCCTTGAAGCCTCGCCGGGTGTGCCCGAGAAGGAGGAGGCTTCAAGCCGCTGCGGCCATTGTGCCAAGGATCTGACCTCCCTTGACTTTGATGGGTACGAGTGCCCAAATGAATGTGGGCGCGTGGGATGCTCCATTGAGTGCATCGCAGCTCACCGCCACGTGTGCAGTCGATACATGTTGGGCAAGGCGTGTTTTGGTGAACGTTTCTCAGGCCCAAATGGCCCTTTGACCAAGGCAGTGGCTCTTGAAAAGGTCTTTGTGCAGCCTCCGCTGGACTGCCTCCGTGAATCCGGTTGGAACTTCTTTAGCTCCTCCGGCCGTGAATGCCTGGAAGGCCTTGAGGATGACGGGCACCTGGCTGCAAGTCACTGTGGGCGCCGGAGTGTAAGACGTTCTTGGCGGCGAGAGGCAGGCCTGTCTACACCACGACCGGAAGGTTCATACAAGGTCCACCGGCTCTGAGGAGTCCTGAAAAACCTTGGGGATTTCCCCATCTTTCCAGGGACAATCAAGTCAAAGTGCGGCAAGGAAACGCCATGGCCAAACGGTCGCTGCATGGAGTCAAAGATGCTCACAAAAGAGGGCGTTTTGCCTCACTCGAGCATCCTTGGTGGTCACATTTGTGGTACACCGACGAAGCCATTGAGCTCTGCGACCTCCCTGGCATGTTCGTGACATGCTTCAGTCACTGCTGCTTCGGTGGGCAGAGGACAAAGTGGACGGCGCTGGTCCACAACATCCCTGAGGTCCACCGAATGATGCACACCCCTTCTTGTGGTGGCCATTCAGGCCTGCTCCCCTATGAGTGCCACGATGAAGGCGGGGTGTTGCAGTTTGACACAGCTCTTGAAGGCGAGTACCCCTGGCAGATGTGCCGCACGTACGCTCGTGCTCTCAAGGCGCAACTTCAGCACCTGAACCCATCTCCGTCTGCCTGCCTCTACACTGAAGAAGGTGCAATCATATCAGCGTTGCGTTCATCGACCAGGGGGTTCCAGTCGCCAGACCAAGCCTCCCTTGCTGCGGCAAAGGTTATGGAGGTGCTCCAGACCATGACCCAAGGAAATGAAAAGAATCACTTGAAGGGCTTGCTGCGGCAGGTCTGCCTGAGAGGCACAGACGTGAAGCTCCTTAGTTCAAGTGAGACCGGAGAGCAGTCAGTCATGTCGCCTTACCCAGCGTTCAAGTGGGATTGGAAAGTCCGACTGGCTTTCGCTTGGAAGCAGCAGCAACACATCAATGTCCTGGAAGTTTCGGCATTTTTGGTGGAATTCCGACGTCGCATCCGTGATGGCTCTCAATTGGGCTCTAGATTCTAGATACTTCAATGTGACCGATTCCCAAGTTATGTTTCACTGCCTTACAAAAGGCCGATCAAGTTCGCCGCGTTTGAACCGCCTGCTCAGGCGTGTGAATGCTCTAGTCCTGATGGGAGATTGCTTGCCGGTCCACTTGTGGACCATCTCTAAGTGGAACTTTGCGGACAAGCCAAGCCGCAAGTTTGAGCAATGATGCCGCGCAAACAACACCTCAAGATGGCTGGCATTTCTCACAGGACCCTGAGCATATATCGGCGAGAAGTTTCACTTTTCTTTGCTTATGTTGACTTTTTGGGCTTCAAGCTTCCGTCCTCCTACGGTCGATTGGACCAACTGGTGGCTGATTACATCAATCATTTGTATCAGGAAGGAGAAACCCTCACAAAGGCTGGCTGGCTTCTCTCAGGCTTCAAACGCCTCTACCCGCGGGTACGTCGAGAGCTGGCTATTTCACAGCAATGGTACAACAACTGGTGTCGAGAGCACACACCCAGACGTGCCACTCCCATCACTTGGCACTTGGTTCAGGCCTTCACTGGCCTATGTATCCATTTGAAGTGGAAACGACTGGCAGCGCTACTTTTGGTGAGTTTTGTCTTCTTCCTCCGGACCGGAGAGAGCCTGGAGCTGATGCCAGACGACCTGCTACTCAGTGTTTCGGATGGCTGCACAGTGGTCCGTTTGGCTAGCTCCAAGACTTCACCAGGAACTCAACAGAGCCTCGCTCATTTTGATGCGACCCTGGTCGTAATCGCTCGTGCTCTGCTTGCACGAGCGCTGCCCAATAAACCTTTGTGGCGACGGTCGCTTACCCATGCACTTTCGCACTTGTTTCACTGCCATTTGCAATTTCTTTGACCTCAATCACCTTGAACTGGTGCCTTATAGCCTTCGTCGAGGAGGTGCCACCTTCTTTTATACCAAGACTAACAGCTTGGACTCTGTAATGATCAGAGGTCGCTGGAAGGATCAATCAACTGCAAGGATTTACCTGGGTGATGCAAGGGCTACACTGGTTCGAATGGCCATTCCTCCAGGCTCCAAACAACTCGTGTCCCTTTTCCGACAGGTTTTTCTTTCTTTTGTATCTCGCTCCGCAAGTGAGCAAGGCTAAGATTGGGAGGACGATGTGGCCTCATTTCTTTCCCCGCCTTGACTTGGTGGGCAATGTGGTGCTTTGGTTTCCTCTTGATCTGTTCAAGCTGTTGCTTCTGTATTTTCTCCCTGCGGGGATGCCGCCTGCGGGCGTGATCGTGGTGTTTCACTTGGTTCCTAGTGAGGATCCGTGCACCACATCTTGATTTCCTTTGGTTGCGCAGTCAAAAGTACAGCGGCGCAACCCTTGAGTGCAATACTGCCAGTACTCCTACTGAAAGTGGGGGACGAAAGTTTGCACTCACCGCGGCCTTTAGGCTTCAGTTCACCCTTCCCCCCCTCCACAATCAGGGGCAATGTGGTGCTTTGGTTTCCTCTTGATCTGTTCAAGCTGTTGCTTCTGTATTTTCTCCCTGCGGGGATGCCGCCTGCGGGCGTGATCGTGGTGTTTCACTTGGTTCCTAGTGAGGATCCGTGCACCACATCTTGATTTCCTTTGGTTGCGCAGTCAAAAGTACAGCGGCGCAACCCTTGAGTGCAAATATATATATATATACATATATATATATATATATATACACATATATATGTATATACATATATATATATATACATATATATATATACATTGGGAATAGTAGCCCCAACTGACGAACTCCATCATTTTTCAGAGGGGTAGACTCAACCACCAACCAGGAACTATTTTGAACATTCAAATTCCAAGACCAGGGCTGACGTTAAAGCACGGTGGATGTAGATTTCTTGAGGGGACGGCCAAGTTTTTCGGGACTGGAACCAAGAAATTTGGTATTATATGGTATATTGATGATAGATGGATCAAATATATTGATAAATGATAGATAAATGAGGACAAACGATGAAATATGAATGGATGAATGGATGAATCTTGGTTAAACTATAACGACCTCACTGTTCTACCGAAACTTGGATATGCTTGCATGGGTGAAATGGTCAACACCCAGATGCCCGGGGCACAGCTGTTGGTCGTTTTTGGTGTTGAACAAGGTTTTAGGGATCTCCAGCAACTTGGTCCAGAAATATTTGCAGGAGGAGGCGCCTGTGATGATGCGTCGCAGTCTCGGTTTTTCGCCGGGGTTGGCGGGGGCGGATGTTTGTACTCAGAGGATCATCCGTCAGGTAGCAATTTGGAGCTACAGATGTCCTGACAGGTCAATTGGATTGCTTAGTTTTTTCCGCTTGCTACCTCCAGATAGGGTTATGGAGCGGAGTATCATAGCTTGGGGGGCGGGTCGGAGGGTTCTCCTTTGAGTTGAACCCTGGAAGTGGTGTCCTCTTCGTGTCCACCTGCACGTCCTTGTTTGATCATGGGGGCGTTTGAGGCCGCGAGGCACGGTGTGTAGGCGGGGCCCGGGGGTCGACTGGAGGCAAGACCCAAAGATGCCGTGGCCTAGCCGTTGGGTCCCTCGGTGTTTGAGGGCTTTGACACGTCAGTGGTTCTTTGTTGTAAAAGATCCAAAAGGTGATATTGATAGAAGACTTCTACCTGGGATCCAAGGTGAAACCTAGGCTTGCTTTTGTGGCATTGATTCGCGGAGTGTGTTTATCGTCATTGCATGGTGGTTAAGCTATCAGGTGGGGATGGATGGTGCGGATTTGTCTGGACCCTGGTGTTGTAAGTCAAGTATCTCTACGCTCTAAAAAGCAAAGATTGAACCCCTATCTATGGGTTATTTCGTGTGCAGTAGTGAACATCATACAGGAGTTTTTCAGGGCATTTTTTTTATTTTTTTTGGATTCAAGGTCAGATTTCAAGGGGGCAACAGTCAAAAAACTCGAAGGTGAGTTGCGAACCAAGAGTGTGCAAACATGAAGATAGCACTGATAGAAATGTTCGCCGTGAAAACAGGTTACACTTATAAGTTATCAGGTTCGCATTGCGCCACCAGGAGGGTCCCGCAACTCTGTTCGAGCTATTAAGCTATTGGAATAAGCGATAATTAGAATGAGTTCTTAAGCTATTAAGTTCCTAAAACAAGCGATTAAGCTATTAAAACAAGCTATTAAGCTATTAAGCTATAAAGCTGTTAGAATAAGCTATGGCCTATGGCTATTAAGGTATTAAACTATTACAATTAGTTATTAAGCTATTAAGCTACTAAAACAAGCGATTAAGCTTGTAAAACAAACTATTAAGCTATTAAGTTATTAGAATAAGCTTTTAAGCAATTTAACAAAAAAACAAAAATCTATTGAGCGATCAAGCTATTAGAATAAGCTATTAAGCTGTTAAGCTATTGGAATAAGCTATAGAAATAGGATTTGAGAATAAGCTATTAAGCTATTAGAATAAGTTATTCAGTGATTAAGCTATCAATCTATTAAGCTATTAGAAAAAAAAAACTATCGAGGTATTGAGCTATTAGAAAAAAATGTCTATTAGAATAAGCTATTAAGCTATAAAGCTATCATGCCAACAGCTGAATAGTGTAACGGCTTCTCCAAGCAGCTTACACACTTGACAGCTTAATAGCTAAACAGCTTCTCCAAACAGCTTAATAGCTTAACAACCTAATAGCTTGTCCAAACAGCTTAACGGCTTAATAGTTAACAGTTTAAAAACTTAACAGTTTATCGTAACAGTTCAATAGCTAAACGGCTTCTCCAAACAGCTTAACAGCTTAACGGCTTCTCCAAGCAGCTTAATAGCTTAACAGCTCAATAACTTAACGGCTTCTCCAAACAGCTTAATAGTGCAAAGGCTTAATAACTTGTCCAAACAACTTAACGGCTTAATAGTTTAATAGCTTAAAAACTGAACAACTTATCCTAACAGCTTAATAGCTAAACGGTTTTTCCAAACAGCTTAATAGTTTAATGTTTTCTCCATGCAGTTTAATAGCTTAACAACTCAATAACTTAACGGCTTCTCCAAACAACTTGATAGCTTAACAACTTAATAATTTGTCCAAACAACTTGACGGCTTAATAGCTAAACAGCTTAAAAACGTAACAACTTATCCTAACAGCTTAATAGCTAAACGGCTTCTCCAAACAGCTTAATAGTTTAACGGTTTCTCCAAGCAGCTCAATAGCTTAACAACTCAATAACTTAACGGCTTCTCCAAACAACTTAATAGTTTAACAGCTTAATAACTTGTCCAAACAACTTAACGGCTTAATAGTTTAACAGCTTAATAGCTTAACAACTTATCCTAACAGTTTAATAGCTGATTCGATGTGTGGACGTTCCTGCCGGGACTGCAGGTTTGTTTTTTTAATACCAGTTGCAAAGGTCAACAAGTTGAATGCCCTGCTGACCTTCAAAAGATGGGATGATGATCCCCATGATAAATCTGTATTTTAGGATAAATGGGATGAAATGGGTAGTATAAACCATCCAACCGCATGATACCCTGTGGATCCCTCTGGGAATTCAAAGTAGGGATGGAAAATCACGATTTTAGATTGGAAAATCATCATCAATCATCTATAAATGGACCATTGTCCAGAATATAGTTTTATGATTACGTCCAATAACCACATGATATTTTTTTCGATGGGTTGAAGGATGTTGAAACCACCCGACCAATGGGTGGAGTGGCCTCTCTGGGACAGGCAGCTTGGACGATGGCGGTGTGCTGAAGCTTTTTTGCACAGGGCGGGGGTGTCGTGCAAGGGCTGGTGTTGACGGAAATGCAGGTTGCTTCCTGTGAAAACTACGTAATACGTAACATAGAACTTCAGAAAACTATGAGAGTAGGAGATTGCTGCGCTGAAGTTTCTAGGTTCGAGCGCATGTTTTTCTTAAAAAAAAAAATCAATCCTTTCGCAGTCAAACTTGGGATATTTCTGCAGCACTTTGTTTTTTTTGACCAATTCCGCTTCATCATTGGGACTTGCTGAGAGTGAACTCGATTGTGCGTTCACACTTCACCGAATTTGACTTGATGAACTAACTTGTGAAAGGTAGGGTTCTCCTACCTCGGTTTTTTAGCCATTTTTGGAGGCCGCTTTTCATATACCTCCAAGATTCATTTTTTTTGCTGGAAAGGTACGCAGGTTGGCCATGACTTCTATTGTCTCACTCTCAACATGCTTTGCTTAGCAAACCTAAGAGGTCAAGCCATTCCACATCATTCCACGCATTTCCCATTGACCTTAGGAAATCCTGGCCCGACACTGTCGTGAACATGTTCCGACAAGCACGTGGGCTTCACCCAGGGGAAGTGTTTGGGGATGCAGGTGCCAGGTGGGGCCGTTAAAAGAGAACGGCAAGCTGGTTGAAGCGATCGAATTCTTGAACGCATAACTCCAAGTTTGGTGTTGCAATAGCCAACTTAAGGGGGCAATTTTGTCAGCTAAAGGTGTCTTGAGGGTGAGTTGAAACTGTGTAGAACCTTTGCCGGGATGTGGACCAAAAAATGTGACCTGAGAATGGGTCAAGGTTTCTTATCCAGGGATCAACAGATGAAATGGCCATTTTGGTGGAATCTTGGAGCCATAACCATGGCTGCCATGGCTGGTTGACCTTCCAGGTTTTTCACCATCTGACATGGTTTGGTACGCCAATGGGCTAAGTCTTGGTGAAACATATGGACAGACATGGACATAGATGTCACATCAATCTAAAGGTACCCACCCACAAAAAATAAGGCCATTTTGTTTCAGGGCGAACCACCATCAACTCTAGGGGCCTGTCAAGCCACTCTTTTTGGACTAAGTCTTGGTGAAAAACATGGAACACATAAAGAATTATAAAGATATGATATCATTGCAATCTGAAGGTACCACCCCCAAGAAACAACGCCATTTGTTTTGGCGTTGCCACCATCAACCCGAGGGACCGAAAAAAAAACACTACTCTTCGAGGGGTTCGCCATTGGGGGGGTACCCCTAGATTTCCATCATGATACTTGAAATTCACTTTTTCCTTCCAAGGCTATTCAGAGGTTACAGTAGCCATGGATTGATTAAACCATTCTAAGTAGAGTAGCGGTTTTGACGGCTAAACATATCCTAAATAGTCTTTAGCACTACTAAGCACTAGAGCGCAAAGATATGGGTAAATGATACGACATGTAAACTTTTGCATTATGTACATCCAGCATGTTAAAGAACCACGGATTCCCATATTGTTTTGTTAAGTTACCGGATGGGAAATTTCCATTTCATGGAATGAAGTCATATTTTTTGATGATCTTGGATGATCTCAGGTTACCAGTTTTATCAGCTAAATTCCCAGTTAGTTCATGTTAGTTCATGGTTCCATCCCCAGGTCTTACTGATTTCCATTGCTTTCCCTTGAGGTCAACAGCACACAGTCGAGAGTCACTTGGCAGTGAATAGCTTGGATTGGCGATTGAGCCGCTCCACAAGTATGCGAAGATCACTTCTGATCATCTCATGGAAAATTTACCTGTCCTGTGGAAAACCTGGTTGAATCCGCAAAATTGAGAAACTGTAAAGATCTGATATAAACGCTGGGTCTGGGGTTGAAACATGGGAACCATGAATCATGAACCCAGAACTTCTGTTTTAACTGGCTTCATCCATTCGGTTCATGCGCCAATCCTATTCGGAATGGCGGCCAATCATTCATCATTGTTGCGACGATTTATTATTCCTTTCCCCTGAATGTGGGTTTACCACTGCTGAATAGGGATTTAGAACATGATAAACCCCACAGCATTTGGGGATATGCAATGTGGTGTAAAGACACTAATCTGTCATGTACCCCTGGACCCTGAATGTTTGGGACCACCAGCCATGAATAGATCCGATGCAACACCATGTTTTGTCGGGACTATTTGATACTCATATTAGGCGGAATGCCGTGATCCAATTATTTGTGAGAGAATCCAATTATCCAGTTTGTCATTTGCCAACTAGATTGGATAGTTTCGTCATGCCTACAATTATCAGCAATATCCCTCTACATCCAAAGACCTAGAAAATCTAGGTTTTCCAGGATGTACCTAGAATTGTTGTGAGGTACCTAGAATTGTTGTTCCCTAATTTGGCAATAATCACTCCCAAACAATGATAGCTTTGATATGCTTCAAGTGAATTAGGACATGTTAAATGCTTTGACATATTCCATTCAATGCATCAGGTGGATGAACAATCAATTGAATTAGATTCCATCATAGAAATTCAGAAAAAACATATTGGTGTCTGATGTTGATAGCAGTTGTATTGCTGGCTTGAGCGCAAATATATGAAACTATATTATATTAAACTTATGTTATCAAGTGTTGCTTCCAGCTCTGACATGTAGTTCAGAGGCCATCTCAAAAAGTGCATTGATAGATGTGAAACACTTTCAACGCACTGTTTGGGTGATTTTTTTTGGGGGAGGCAGTGTCCACGACAATTCTAGGTTGTTCCACGACAATTCTAGGCCGTTCCACGGCAATTCTAGGTCGTTCCACGGTTTGTCCATGGTTTTTCCACGGTCATGTTTTTCGCACACAAAAAAAGGACAATAAAAACACATACGGATTTTTGTTGATCCCCACATCATCACTTTGCTGGTAAGTTTCAGCATTGAAGACCAGTGAAGAAACTGAGCAAGTATAATTATGGTGAACTTAATTAAGTTTACATTGCTAGCATTTGATATGCCATAGCTTTGGCAAATTGTTGACGGAATGTTGGATTGTTCATGTGAATGTTTAAGGCAATTTCATAAATTTTCGTTGGTACTTTCGAGCCCGTGCTGGTAGTCACCGAGCAGCTTCCCAATGGCACCTTTGCATGAATATATACAAACATAATCAAACATACCTATACATACAAATCTAGGTCGAACTTACAAATCTAGGTCTAGACCTAAAAAATCTAGGTAGCGGAAGTATATGGATATCAATGTCCAATTATACCAGTATTACCCGCACGAGGTGGGGCGGAAGTTGCCTTAGGGATATATAAGACCTTTCTCATCTATAGAACTTGCATGCGCCGTGCGCCAGCCAAGCCCGTGCGTGCGTGCACTCTGCGAAAGTGGTGTCTTTCACATGTCACATTTGAAGCTCCACTTCGCACTTCACACTTCTCACTGCAGTCTTCACACTCCACACTACACACTTCACACTCCACACTTCACACTGAACACCCTATAACTACGCACACACACACAAGCACATCCAAAGCAGCTTGAAGCCACCGTTACAATGCGGCAAAAAAAAAGGAAAGCGACCGCAGCCGCACCCGCCGCGCAGACGAGGTACCTTTCATCGCCGGCTGCAGCCACTTTACACGGAAAAACACAAGGTTTCGTGCTCCGGCTTCCTCCCCAGCACAAAGCCCATGCAACATTCATGCAGCCATTACACAGCGTTTCGCAGCATCACGTCGCAAACCTGCACGTGTATACACACATGGCAATACCAGATGACAACAGTCATGCAGCCATTCCAATGCGATCTGCAACCAAAGATTCCAAAACACCCTTTAACTACGCACACACAAGCACACCCAAAGCAGCTTGAAGCCACCGTTACAATGCGGCAAAAAAAAAGGCAAAGCGACCGCAGCCGCACCCGCGGCACAGACGAGGTACCTTTCATCGCCGGCTGCAGCCACTTTACACGGAAAAACACAAGGTTTCGTGCTCCGGCTTCCTCCCCAAAAGAAAGCCCATGCAACATTCATGCAGCCATTACACTGCGTTTCGCAGCATCACGTCGCAAACCTGCACGTATCTACGCACATCACAACACCAGATGACAACAGTCATGCAGCCATTCCAAAGCGATCTTCAGCCACAGATTCCAAAACACCCTTTAACTACGCACACACACAAGCGCACCCAAAGCAGCTTGAAGTCACCGTTACAATGTGGCCAAAAAAAAGGCAAAGCGACCGCAGCCGCACCCGCCGCGCAGACGAGGTACCTTTCATCGTCAGCTGCAGCCACTTTACACGGAAAAACACAAGGTTTCGTGCTCCGGCTTCCTCCCCAACACAAAGCCCATGCAACATTCATGCAGCCATTACACTGCGTTTCGCAGCATCACGTCGCAAACCTGCACGTATCTACGCACATCACAACACCAGATGACAACAGTCATGCAGCCATTCCAATGCGACCTGCAACCAAAGATTCCAAAACACCCTTTAACTACGCACACACAAGCACACCCAAAGCAGCTTGAAGCCACCGTTACAATGCGGCAAAAAAAAGCAAAGCGACCGCAGCCGCACCCGCGGCACAGACGAGGTACCTTTCATCGCCGGCTGCAGCCACTTTACACGGAAAAACACAAGGTTTCGTGCTCCGGCTTCCTCCCCAAAAGAAAGCCCATGCAACATTCATGCAGCTTACACTGCGTCACCGCCCTGTTAGGTAAAATTAGGTAACGGCCATAACTTACTTAGAGCAGTTATAACTAGATACCAGTAGTACCGCACAAGGCGGTGGCGGAAGTTTCAAAAATAGGAAACCTATAGGAAAGGTTGGTTGTTGTGAATCACGGATGGCAGAGCGAAGCAGGATTGACAGGTGCTTGATCTCTCTCACTCTTTCTCTCTCTTTCTCTGCCTATCTACCTACCTACCTATCTATTTTCTATGTATCTATCCAGCTATCGATCTGTCTATCTATCTATCTATCTATCTATCTATCTATCTATCTATCTATCTATCTATCTATCTATCTATCTATCTATCTATCTATCTATCTATCTATCTATCTATCTATCTATCTACTCACCACTTCCCTTCGTCACCACTTCCCTTCATCACCACTTCCCTTTGTCACCACCCTTCATCAAGGTCAATTCTTTTGTGATGTATTTTTATGTAATGTAAAGTTGCACACCAGCCTTCATCAAGGTCAGTTCTTTTGTGATGTATTGTTATGCAATGCAAGGTCGCACACCACCCTTCATCACGGTCAATTCTTTTGTGATGTATTGTTATGCAATGTAAAGTCGCACACCACCCTTCATCAATGTCAATTCTTTTCTGAGGTATTGTTATGTAATGTAAAGTCGCACACCACCCTTCATCAAGGTCAACTCTTAGTCGCGCACCACCCTTCATCAATGTCAACTCTCACAGTTCTATTTGTCCGTAACTCGGAAGTATTGCTCCCGAACTTCCTTTGATTAGCCCCTCACTGTGACTTCACTTTAATGCTGGTTAGTAGGGATAATTATCTCAAAATGGTCTGAACTCAGGTTTGTGAACCACTGCAATTTACCAAGAGCTCCACTCACTGGTGAGCCGGTCCATAAAGATGCGAAAGTCACATACACAAAAATGACTGGAGAGGGTGAACGTTTCAAATCCCATGTGGGGCTGCCCCGGAAGCCCCGTTTCCATTCAGAATAATGGCCACCATGGTCATTGGGACCAGTTCTGCAGGAATGCAGATCGAAGTTGGGGATTTGCCATTAGTCAATAGGGATGATCCAACACACATCGGAGATAGCCAATGATCCAGAAAATGCACCCTATGTTCGATGATTCGACCCAATACATAAGAATGTCCATTGTCAGGCCATCTGATTTTAGATATTTTAGGCAGAAGGGATACGTCCAAATATTGGAAAAAGGGATTAGTTATCACTCATATAATCCACTTATCCCATTAGTGAACCCTTATTAGTGATAACATGTGATAGCCAATCTACTTTTCCGCCCACTTAATCAATTGCAACGTGTAGGGATCGACCACCAAGCTGTCCATGACCCCCAGCTTGAGAAGATTGCACTGACATTTTTAGGTGTGACAAGTATTGTCTTACTTAGTATTTGTGGGAACATGTGGGAACATGTGGGAACCATTAGTCTAGTCTAATGAATGCAATGTTGGGCAATTTTATGAAAATTAAAGTAATAAGCAAAACGATGCAAAAAACAACTTCGGTTGATGACTATCTTAGAATCAGATTTATCATGTTTCACATGTTTTTCTCTTTGGGATTTTTGGAGTATAAGACAGAATCGTTTCAAAGACCATTCTCGACGAGCTCGTCATTTTCCATCTGCACCTGGGACGTACGAACCTGCATTTGGTGAAAACGAAACTATATCACTGATGCGGAGGTCATTCGCACTCTTTCTATCGATTTTCATCCAAATTTTTGTTGGAATCCAAGTCTTCATCCTATTCCCAGCATTGTTTGAACAACAAAATATAGGGGTCTTCTCATATTTTGCGGGTAAATCCATGGTTTCCTCGAGATTTTCCCTGCCAACGAATTTCATTCGACTTCGAAGTGACTTCTGCAACACTTTTCAGAAAGCACGTTTATATTTGTCATGTTATTTTCATTTCAGCAAATGTTCATTCAACTTCTCAGCAAGGCCAGGGCCTGCGTCCACTTCATCTTGTCTGTGGAGCCTCACAGAAGCCACACCCAGAGAAGGCGATGAAAGTGCCCCACATTTGCTGGCCAGAAACTAGGATTCCAACCATAGGATTTAGGGATCTCCAAGATAGCTAAGTTTGTTTAACATTGTTTTAAACTCCAATAACTTTGGCTTACAAGGATTTGCAAGGGACATATGATATTTAATGGGGTTTATAAAGCAACTTGCAACTGGAGGGGGGGCCATCACTTGTAGCGACCTCACTGCGATAACTCTGTGGCCGGTATGACGGTTGATAGGGGTAACTATCCCAGACTGCCTTACTTTTTTAAACTTATCCATATTATATTATATATACCATGCCCAGCTGCCCAGCTGCCCAGCTGAAACAAAACAGTGTTGCAAGGAATCTATGAAAATGGGAAGGTTTCGTAGTTGCATGCCCACATAGAACTCTAGAGTTCATCCGGTGTATACATGGTGAACCAATGAATGGTGAATGCAGCTTTGGTTAGTGGATGTTAGTGGTTTGCTTGGATTGGAGGTTCCAGTTCCTTACCATGCGGCCTCAAAATACTATCCGAAACCGGGATGAATAGATCCCATGCCGAATCTGTATGCAAGTCGCAAGTGGTAATGTCATCCACAAATTTGTCCCTGATGTCAGCCTCACCTTTGGTGAAAATTCCCATGAGGGTACCCTCAATGCATAAACCTACCATGAATGAAGGATCCATTGGGGGATGAATTTCACCGTCTATGGCAGTACTTGGGATTGAAATCTCTGCGTTCTCTACTCGTTTCTTTTGCTCTTTGCTATGGGAAATTGCAAAGGTTCAAAATTCCAGACCTTAGTGCTCACAGAATGATTGATCACTTGTTGAAATAAGCTTGGAAGGCTTTTGACCCGATATTTGTGAGTTGTATGTACCAATGCCAGACATATATTATTCAATAAACCGTTTTTAACACCATAAACCCATAGCTGAGCCTTGTAGTACGTCCAGGGGATACCTCAGCAACAAGACTGCAAAAGATTGCAATATATGGCAACAATGTGGCTCAAAAACTGGATTGACAAAGGTCACACCCGTAAACATCAGGGATGTACATAAAAACCATATAGGGATTCATCCACAAAAAATGTGATCTACTGTCGCCGAAAGACATGGCGCATTGGGAAGCAATCAGTAATGTGGATCTAAAACGGTAAAATCATGCGACACTGCCTAGTTTTTTACAGCTGACATTGTGCTCGTTTTCGCCCAGAGTTTGGGATAGACATCCATGGGAGGATCTGTTTGTCCATCGCCCGCTGCAGGGTTTCATTTGTATCAGTATCTCAAAAAAGTATAGGTCACTGCACCCGCGCTGCATTGCCAGAACCAAGAAGGGCCCCCCAAACGATAGGGTTTTGTCGATTATAACATATAGGTTTTGTCGATAATAATAATAATATAACATATAGGCTATCAATTGGACTATAGTTGGATTGGGTAATTATATATATATACCGTATCAACCCATAATTCCTTCCCGTTGATATGAAAGGCACCCACAACCCTGGTTGTGTATTGCTTTCATTGGATTTATCCATTTTTGGTGTCCATATAATAAATATAAGACATGGAACAGATTTGATATTTGGGAGAAGGGATCATTGCCTAATCTGGATCTCCAAAATCAAATATGAAAATCCCTAATATAAAAGGGGTAGTCTAACCCCGTAGAACCATGAATCAACGCCAAGGCTGTTGAGCCTCAGGCAAAGACCCGCGATTGGCAATAGTTGATTCTTACTCATTACCTTTGATGTTAATTTATGACGCCCAATCATACATTTTAATCTATGTATATCACATATACTTTCATATACCCAATGGTTGGCTATACCCGCGCTTATCCCGAGGGTTATATATGAATACTGATTCGAAAAAAAGAAACGCAATGGAGGCGGATTGCCTTCAGCGTCCCCCAAACAAAATGTGATAGATAAACATTGAACCAATGGATTGACAAAAACTCAAGCATTGTTTCAATGACACATACCTAGGAGCAAGGTGACCCGAAATTTCATCTATGGTTTTGTACCACATTTTGAAATTCACATATTTCACACTCGCTGTTTCTAAATATGGAGAGAAATCCACAAACGGCCAACATGGATTGACAACAAAAACATGAAATTCATTTAGGGTTTTCTTATAAAATGGGGTTCCCCCGAAATCATCCATTTCCATCGGATTTTCCACTATAAACCATCCATTTTTGGGTATATATCCCATTGATGGAAACCCATATTTCAATGACCAGCATATTTGTGGGTTGTTCTTCCATGCTTCTGATAGCTTGCCCTGGCGCCTTGCTCGAGGCAGCCACTGGCGGAGAGGACAGCCTATTCATATGCCCCAATGGCAGTGCTGCAGGAGATCAGTTGCGAAACAGGGTCCCCGTGCCCGCCCAATTTATTCTTGGGGATGGTCATGGTTTAGTTATGGGGACTTTCACCAACAATATGATACATGGGGTACTCATTGTCACCATCACCAAGGGGATTCCAACATTGTTGATTGATGTTACCCCATCCAACTATAGATACATACATCCACCAAACATCCAATCATTAGCCTGGTTATAAACCACAGATCTTGACTTATTTGTTTTGGCCCTTTTCTCACACAGATTTCCAAATAGGTATGAAGGATAGATCATTTCCTGACCTAGATATAGAGGGTACCAATGATCCGAAACACGAATGTAAATGAATGAAAACCTCCAAACTGAAACCTCTGCAGATAGAACTTTTCTGTGAGTTTGCCAGTTCCGGTTTTTGATCATCCCTCTGGGCCTCTGGGTGTTTGGCCCCGTGGTGTCCCTGAAATCTTCCTTGTGTTGAAGGTCTTACAGCTAAAACTCCATCCTGTTTCAAGTCAATGAAGCTTGAAAGCTGTGTCATATTGTTTCATGTTTATCGCCAAACTGCAAATGATTACCTAGATGTTTCTCTTCTGAGTTTGTCCGATAAAAAGGCTGTCCGATACGCCAAGAATTGGTGGTTTTCCTGATCAAGATTGCCAGAAATGATCGGCAAAATTTCTCATTGTCAGACCCAGCTATCAACCAGCTGCATGAATTCAATTACCCATAGGATCCATGGTGCTGGTATATATGCTAACATGACTGGGGTATATTGATGGGATCCATGTTACCATATATAGCAGCACCATGGATCCTATGGGTAATTGAACCTACCTATCCATTCGCGCAAGGAGTTGCTGACGGCGTGGGCTGCTGCCACGGATGGGGCATAGACCCCAAGCCCTTCGCCGATCAGCTCATGTCGGGATGCCCAGGTGTGAAAAGATGTTTGTAATTGTTTGTATATTGTATGATTATTATATAATATGTACATATACTACATATATACATGTTTACAAAAATATGGTTCATATATGCTTACTATAATAATTTTAAACACACCCAATATAAGAATGAATATAACTGTATATACTAGAAATGTCTGCAGGATCCAATGGCCTTGCTTTCCCAATACCTTACAGGAATGTATTTGGACCTCCCAACACCAAGTCCAATCGCGTTTCGAGGAAATGTTTTGAAGGTAGGCAAATAATCCTTGGAAGGTCAGGACGCACTAGTAGTGCTGCTATTGGACATCGAAACATAATTTTTATTTACATATGGCCTGACAGGAGCTGAATCTAGCCGATGGTGGATTTTCCATTGCCATGTTTGATTAACGGAGGGTACAATCTAGTCGATTTCTTCAGTACACGTTTTGCAGACTTCTTACGGATTCTGCAAGATAATGACCGTTTTGGATTGGTTTGGTGACATGGTTTTTGGTGTCAGAATCTATTCTATTTCTCTGGGATTGGGTCAGCACCAGGTTTGTCCTGCATCCCAGCTTTTTTCCAGGATATGGAGTTACAAGGCATATAATTATACATATAATTATACATATAATTATACATATAATTATACATGTACATATGTATGTATATACATATACATATGTATATATATATATACACGTATGCATGTGCATGTATATATATATATATATGTATAATTATATATTCATATAGGTGTACAGATAGTAACGTATACAAAGATGCTGATTGAATGCATAGTTACTAATTTACTGCAGCTTCTGAGGAATGAACTTATGATCCGGCATCAGGATGGGATTTTTCACCAAAGACTTTTTAATTCGTGTTTGTCAAACGTGTGATTGGGAAACTTTTAAACTTGAAACCCCACCCGTCCACTTGCAGACACCCATCGGCATGATTTTGTTGCTGGTGGGGGTTGATGAATCCCATATTGTTGTGATCAAAACTGTATTAGTTCATATCAGTTCAATCAGTTCCCCTGAATTCAGTCTCCCAACATTCCGAAGCGAATGAACTCAAGTTGTTGGATGGTCTATCAGTTTGACCCCCATGTTTCTACTGGCTCGGCCTTCCGTTTATGCTGTTCCTACTCGCATTTTGCACCTCAAAGAGTGCCATTTGCTAGTGATTCTTGGGATGTCCACCCAGGAGTCGTCAGTGGTATATATAAACTATCAATCCAACTGTGATTGCATATTGGTACCCCTCCTATTCATCCGGCATTTCATTTCCCACCGCACCTGACATTTCGCCGAGGGCGACAGCCCGAGAATCGGCACACGATATGCAGGATGAGGCCAGGTGGAGATCAGAAACTCCGAATCACTCGCTAATGGGGCGATATTTCCATAGAATTGAAATTTCGATGGGATGTCGAGATATATACATTATCAACAATGGGTTTTACTGTACATTATCTGGATAATTATGGTGCATTGTGTTCCATTGTTTGCACCCCAGAAGCAGTCTCAGCGAAGACGAGAAAATGACAGACACAATTTTGCCTGGAATGGCAGGATTGTATTTTTTCTGGTACACACATTGACTCCGACGTTTTCAAAAAAGGTCTCCTGGAAAACGACACCAAACTCATGAACTAGCGACATCTGAGTAGATCCAGTTGCTTTGATGGAGGATGATACCATGTGACCCTGAACTGAAACTTTGTGTGGGGCATCCAAGATTACGGCCACACCATGTGATTGCCGGGCCACACCTACTTATATTGACATATGTTTAGGGTTATCATATTTTCCTCTCAATTTGGGTTTGTCTGAAAAAGGGTTCCTCAAACCTCACATAGTTTATCATTGTTGTTGCCACAAAGATGACCATTTGAAAATATACCGGTATACAACCTTTTCAGACATACATACATGCATGCATGCAGTTACACACACACACATTTTGCCTGAGATCAACCGACCTGCACGTTTCCATATTTTTCCTGGCTGCATCACGCTCTCCAGGCACTGTTGGCAGTCCAAGACCGCGCCCGAATCGTAGTCCGAGAGAGCTACGAGGCCGAGATGGTGGGAGACACTGCTTAAACTGATATGTATCCCGTTCATAAAGAGTTATAGATGGTTTTGTGTGATTTTGTATGTATGTATATAAATATATACATGTGTTTATGGACATACATATCTAATTATATGATTTAAACATATATATATACTGTAGAGTGAGAGAGAGATATAGTTCAACAATTATAAATATATATATATATATAAATATATATATACACACATTTTTTGAAATGTACACACGCATATCGATCTTTATAACCCTTTTTCCTTACATGTGAATTGTAACGTTTTGAAGGGTGGGGTGTCACAGTGGGGTTATGTATAACGATGAGAATTCGCATTAACGCCGGGGAACCCAATTCACAAAACACTGCCCAAAACGGCAACATTTTTTGGGTAATGATTCAATTCAAAGTGAGTATACTTGAAGCCGGTGGCAACATGACAATTTGGGGATATCAGTTTTTTTCCGGATCTATCCGAATCTTGTGCTGATGATTTGTTGAGATTATGGTCCCTGCTGGAACATGGGCGTAAATATGTTTAAACCTCTCCAGTTTCCATAGTTACCAGGCACGCAACATTTAAATGAACCAGGTTGTTTTCTTGTGATTACCTTGATCATGGAACCCATCATTAACATGTACGGGTGTTTCTGAAAATTGAGGCGGCCTAAAGCCATCCACAACCATTGGTTTCCCAAGGCTTCCGCATTAACGGATTAGTAAGAAGATGTAAGAAGTAGCTATTAGTCATTTAGACGAATGGTAACTTGGCCTCCTCCATTTTAGGAACCACCACCATTCCCATGGTCCATTCCCATGTTTGAAACCCCAGCTGCATGGGAAATTCCATGCATGGCATGTGGCCCATCGAAGATCCTTAAAGCACAAGGTTTGGATCCATGCAGCGTTGGAAACATATGGCATCTTTGAGAAATACCAAACGTGCATAGGACTCAAAGACGAAAATCCCTGGAAATTCATTGAAATTCTAGTTTTGAGGTTGAACAGGAACCCAGATGTTGCATCTTAGTTTGATGGAAAGTGGGACAGCTTTTGTTGCTTAAGTCATCTCAAGTCCCAAAATTTGCTGGTCAAGTCAAAACCAATCTGTTGTCGGGTAAATCCCCAAGTTTGGTCAATACAATTCTTTGTTGATAATTTTCCCGCAAGTCCCAGACATGGATGATGGGAGAATCTGCTGGAAACCTCTCTTTTTGATACTAAAAACAAGGTTTCCGGCAGATTTCCCGTACTAAACCTATCCACTGAAAAAGGGTTGAAATATTGACTAGGAAGTCCCTAGATCCTATAGGGCTATCCACAACGATTCCACCGTTTTTTCAACCATGTTTGCTTGGCCAAAAATTTTCAACAAACCACCAAAAGAACCGTACTTTCCGTTTAATTAGAGGATCATCTCACTGTGATGTTAGTGTTGCGTTGCTTGTTTCTGACCAGGCCAGACAAACTTTTCACGAAGTGAATGATTCATTGTTTGCTGGCTAAATGTAATCCAATCTGCATTCTTGCAGCTTAAATGGCAATATACTTTTGAAGTTTGTTACAGGCTAACTCTCCAGATTTTGCTGTCTTCGTTTGTTTGCAGCCCAGATCTGCGCATTTTGCTCATTTAATCTCCATACTTGTTGCTTAAATATCCCGGCGGGTTGGAAACTGCGCCTATAGTGACGCCAACTATTGATCAGCATTCCTCTGCATGCCATGGTCAAAACATTGATTGTTTTATATTGTTTTCCCATATGGTGGGTGCTCATCAATGCATTAATACAGTAGGGATATGTGATATGTATATATATATATATCCATTATGTTTTGCATCCCCATTAGCCCCGTTATGGGAAGGATGACCACGAACGATACACCACGATTTGGCCAGCCCAGCAGGCTGCCAAGCAGTCGGGAATCTTCGGCTCTTCCACGTGCCTGGTGGCTCTTGTGGATCCCAATGAACCCAAGCTTGGCGTGGCCAACTTGGGGGATTCGGGACTCAGGCGGGAAGGATATGGATTACATGTGCGTTGAATTATGGGTATATTTTATTGCATTATACTATATACTAAATTATGTTTTAAGAAAACATGTTTCTATTATTTATAATGCATTAATATTATATTGTGTATATTATATTTTTAATTCATGTTATATATATTATTTAAATTATATATATATATGGTAACAACATTAAAATATGTGGAGGGCGGTCCAGACCGCGAGGCCCCGGAGGTAGTATAAAATACCAGTTCGTATGTTTAAATGTAGTTACCGTATGTTTAAATGAATTGTATTCCGTATGTTTAAATGGCTGGGATGGCGCTCAATTCATTCTCACAAGGACTTATATACCCAAGATGTTTGGATTTCTATTCTGGAATGGATGACCATACCACATTCATCCAATGTTTTGACCTTGGTACATATGATGTACCAACTGGTTATTTAACATAGCCATAGAAAAATCCCAAAAATAAATGGAGGTTTCTAGCTGGGAAAATCATCTATTTCTCCTGGGGCATCTATACCATGGCTGTGTTAAATAACCAGATGGTAATATGTACAGAATATCATTAACAAGTAACTAGATCTGGTATAATAGTATATATTATATATATATGCTATTAACTAGAATCAATATCATGTGGGTAAAACAATGACATAAACCACCCATTTGGGAATGGTACAATCCTATTGTCACTTGCTTTGGTCGACTCGCAGCCATTGGAGCTGGACTCTTATACCGATCACCATGGCTGTGGCGCAGGATCCTACGCTGGAGCAACGGATTTTCTGGCAAGCCACGGGGGGTGTACATCGCAGAGCGTTCCTTGGTGCAGCGATAGAGTTGTGGCCTTTCATTCGGAAATCTCATAATCAATGAATCAATGATGATCAATTATCATAATTAGTGCATTGAAAAGCGTTTCTCCCAGTTCATTGCAATCTAGCGGCGGGTGCCATTGTGTGCCATTCAGAACTGGACTTATCTCTATTTGGGGGACGTCCTAGCAGACCTTGTGTTTATGAATCCTGAGTCAGCACTAAAAACTGACCATGACAATGTTGTGAGCAATCAGTCGACGGGATGATCATCCAAGGAGGAATGAACATACTATGACGTGGGGTTTACCCAACTGCTGGCTTTTTGACTACGATTCATCAAGATGATGTACATCTTATAAACACTACATTTAGTGTAGGTTTTTTGACTCAAGAAAATGCTTTCTACATTCGATGCTCGGAAACTTCCCTCCTACCTGGGGGCATCAAACTTAGGATGATTGGGCCTCTATGGCGCAACCAAACTTATGATTGTCAAAGGTGCGAACATTTTTTGTAAGTGGAAGCCAAGGGTGTTTATGTGTTGTTTTTTTGCGCAGTTCTTCTTTTCTCAAGAATGACGGTTCCAAATTGAATTCCTTTTTCAGGCACTTTTTTGGAGTGCAGGGCAAGCATTCAATAAATTGGTGGTGAAAATAGAAGTTCACCCAAAACTGTTTGAGAGGTGATGTTGGTAGAGGAGTTTTGTTGAAACAAACTTGCATCATCATGAATATCATGTGGCCTGAAAACCCCATCCTGATAATCAACACCTTCCTGGCCCCGTGGGGACAGTGCCAAGGCACCTCAGAACAGCAACATGTGCCTTGTTTAGCAACTCACGCGGTCGAGTTGGGAGGTTTCTGAGTGGAGCCACACGTGGTACTGGGGTCATTGGTATTGGTTCAAGATCGAATTTTTATGTCTAATTTTCTTGTTGCTGGCATTGCAAGTTTTGCAGGCAAATAGTTTGCCTTTGCGAACTGAGTTGTACAATTCTTCATTTTTTTCAAAACACTTAGCATATAAGATACCATGTTTGGTTCAGATATTGTGTGTCAACTCAACCGTGGATCAATAAACCCGGGTTAGTTGGTTAGAGTCATTTCCATGAAAAAAAACATATGTTCTGCTAGTATTGACCCGCAATTAAACAGCAAATCAGCAAAATATATTCCGGGGCAAACATGAGAACATTGCTAAAAATTCACCAGATGACCGCATGACCATGGCGTCAACCACTAAGGGCAGCACTTCGCATCTGAGGCCTTCAACACTCCGTACCAACTTTCGTTCCTGCCCAAGGACCCGGGAGGGTTCGGTCAGGAGGACGGGGCTGATGAAACCCAGCATGGACATCCGAGACTCATAAACTCGCAAACCTATATATATAATATAATGATTTACCTGCATATATCATCATATATCTGCACAAATTATTGCGAGTGCTGAGGCCATGGGGTGGGTAAGTTTGACGAGGTCAGCCTTAGTTTGGTTGTTCAGATTGAACGAGAACAGCAAGGTTTGCGGCACTTTGCCCCTGTTTGCTGCATTTTTAAGCTCCAGAGTTGATAAAAGCGATGATCACCACACAGTAGTACAATATTTGTAAGGGGGTTGAAACCACCAGCCAAAACGCTGACAGTGGTAGGGCTTCCCCTGAAGTAAGCAAAAAGATTTGTTTGATGATTATGATATCCCACTATATCCAGTATATCCAAGATAGTGGATTCTCCCTTTAATAAACTTCTGGTGGGCAATCCCCGCGTGCATTTCCCGGGTGCAGGCGATAAAGGATACATATGAAGAGCGGGGCGTTCGCTAGGAGCGGAGAGGGGAGGATGGTGAAGGTGATACCTCACTATAGCTGGTATCCTGACCTCACCATTACTCATCACAGTAGATGGTCAATATGATCACCTCACTGTAGTGATCACTGTAGTTGACAGTTGACTTTATTTTGACCGCATCGGTAGGATTTGTTCTGAATAAAAGGTGCCTTTTTTGTCAGTATTTCACTGGAACTGCAAAATCCTACTTCTGCAATGGGCGGATGAAGCACCGAAAGCACCAATGCAGCTGCATTCTATTGGGGTAAAAATATTATTCACTTTGGGAGATTCAACTGTGGTTACAAAAGCTCTCTGCCAGGAGAATCTATGAATGATCCTTTTCAAAACGGTGCATATCACGAAGAAGTTGGTTGATAAAGTTGCCATATGTGTCATGCATGGTCAAGATCCTTGGGTAAACTGCCAAGCTTTTTGTGACGGTCGGCAATCCATTTCTACAGGGATTTCGCATGATTTCACTATGCCCATTATATAAACAGAAAAAAAGGATTCTCCTGGCATGGGGTGGATGACTATACCTGGGTAAATTATAACGACCTCACTGCGACCTCACTGGAATCATGGTTTATAAGGGGAATCATCCCAAAATGGTCTTAATTCAGGTTAGTGAAATATTATAATTTACCCAGACTATACCCAATGAATCCCAATGTGTTTCTTTCTTGACCATAGCACATATTTCACACTGACCTTCTGATGATCACCCAGAGTGACTTGCTTAGTACTTTTAGCCGCCGTTTTTCTTGCTGTACGAAATAACCCATCTGGTCCATAGATGTCCATAGTACAAGGCCGCCATAGTTTTGTGTACGTTTACCATCCGTTTACCCATCTGAAGTGACTAAATATCGATATCCACCAGTTAGCTTGAATGTTTGTCAACTATCGAATATGGGACCAGTTTTGGGCCCCCTGTTTGTACGCCCATGGTCAAGTTTGCACAACTGTGGAGAAAAATTCGCAAGGCAATTGACGGCTAGCTATGCAAGGGAGTAAAGTATGGCGACCTCCCCTACCAACCCCACCGAACAGGATTTTTCGTCGAACAAAGCGCGATTCCACAACTACGTTCTCACGATTCCAGAACCAAAACCACGCGATTCCAGAACCAAACCACGCGATTCCTCAACCAAAGCCGGCGCGCTTCCACAACTACATTCTCACGATTTCACAACCACACTCTCACGATTCCACAACCAAACTCCCACGATTCCACAACCAAAATCTCAGGATTCCACAACCAAACTCTCACGATTCCACAACTAACATCTCGGGATTCCACAACCAAAATCTCGCGACTCTACAACTAACAACTATTGATTCCACTAGGAAGACTGCCGCTACTTACTTTCATTGTAGAAAATTCTTGACAAGTTACAAGAAACTTAAATCCCCCACCCCCGCAAAACAATAGATCAAATTTAAGTATTCAGCAAGCAGCCCCGCTTCTTAGGAAAGACTGCCCCTTCTTACTTTCATTTTAAAAGATTCTTGACAAGTTACAAGACATTTAAAAATCTCCCGCCCCCGCAAAACAATAAATCAAATTCAAGTTTTCAGCAAGCAGCCCTGCTTCCTAGGGAAGACTACCGCTACAAATTTGCATTATAGAAGATTCTTGACAAGTTACAAGACATTTAAAAATCTCCCGCCCCCGCAAAACAATAGAGCAAATTCAAGTCTTCAGCAAGCAGCCCTGCTTCCTAGGGCAGACTACCGCTACAAATTTTCATTATAGAAGATTCTTGACAAGATACAAGAAACTTAAAAATCTTCCACCCCCGCAAAACAATACATCAAATTCAAGTCTTCAGCAAGCAGCCCTGCTTCCTAGGGAAGACTACCGCTACTTACTTTCATTAAAGAAGATTCTTGACAAGATACAAGAAACTTAAAAATCCCCCACCCCCGCAAAACAATACATCAAATTCAAGTCTTCAGCAAGCAGCCCTGCTTCCTAGGGCAGACTACCGCTACTTACTTCATTCTAGAAGATTCTTGACAAGCTACAAGAAACTTAAAAATCTCCCACCCCCGCAAAACGATACATCAAATTCAAGTCTTCAGCAAGCAGCCCTGCTTCCTAGGGAAGACTACCGCTACAATTTTTAATTATAGAAGATTCTTGACAAGTTACAAGACATTTAAAAATCTTCCACCCCCGCAAAACAATACATCAAATTCAAGTCTTCAGCAAGCAGCCCTGCTTCCTAGGGAAGACTACCGCTACTTACTTTCATTAAAGAAGATTCTTGACAAGATACAAGAAACTTAAAAATCCCCCACCCCCGCAAAACAATACATCAAATTCAAGTCTTCAGCAAGCAGCCCTGCTTCCTAGGGCAGACTACCGCTACTTACTTCATTCTAGAAGATTCTTGACAAGCTACAAGAAACTTAAAAATCTCCCACCCCCGCAAAACAATAGATCAAATTCAAGTCTTCAGCAAGCAGCCCTGCTTCCTAGGGAAGACTACTGCTACTTACTTTCATTGTAGAATATTCTTGACAAGTTACAACAGATTTAATATCTCCCACCCCCGCAAAACAATACATCAAATTCAAGTCTTCAGCAAGCAGCCCTGCTTCCTAGGGAAGACTACCGCTACTTACTTTCATGATAGAAGATTCTTGACAAGTTACAAGAAACTTACAAAATCCCCCACCCCCGCAAACCAATAGATCAAATTTAAGTGTTCAGCCAGCAGCCCCCGCTTCTTAGAAGATGCGACCGGAACTTGGGTTAGAGCAGTTCATGTCTTGGTTTGGTTCAAATCCCTTTTGGTTTTGGAATAGCCCGTTTTGGTTATGGAATAATTGTTGGTTGAGGAATCATACGGTTTGGTTAAAGAATATTTCGCCTTAGTTGTGGAATAATCGTTGGTTGAGGAATAACACGTCATGGTTGAAGAATAATACGGTTTGGTTATGGAATAATCCTTGGTTGAGGAATAATACGTTTTGGTTGTACTACGTTTTGGTTATGGAAGAATCTGTTGACAATTTTTCGATTGGGAAACACAGTAATTTGCTCAGTTAAAATGATTAATAAGCCGACATTATGGACTTTGAGCACTTTTCGAAGGAAGAATAGGGAAGAACCCCAGCATTGTTGAAGGGCCAGTTGCAACTGAAAGTCATGTCAATTTTTGGTCTGAAGGATGATACATCCTATGTTTGATGATCCTATATGCATATGAGCCATAACCATGTCAGTATCTCAGTATGTATTAAAAAACATAAACAAACAAATAAATCAAACAATTGCAAAGGTTTATGATTGTTTATGTATACACGCGGTATGTGCATATGAAATCACAGGTATACGGTATACGTATATATATATATATATCTGTGTATATATATACATATATATATATACACATATACATATATATATATACATATATATATATATACATATATATATATATACATATATATATAAATTATATATATATTAGAGTATCTTGACAGGATCTGCTCATGCTCATATCATTCACACATTGCAACATTTTGTCAAACATTTTTGTTCCCCCGACTCAGCCGCGACTCCCAGGATTTGCCATCAGATTGTCAGACCTACACCTTCCAGGCCATCACGGGCCCTCAGGAGGATCACTCCAGGGATGAGAAGCTAAGTGGTTTGTACTGGGGGTGGTTTAACTTTTGAGATGGAGTTAGTTCAACCGTCTAAATCTGTAACTGTATCTATATTTTGGGAAAAAAGGCAACCACAGAAGGCCGCAGGTTTTTGGGTGTGTATCCGTGCCTGATCCTCTAAGTAGAAGTATCAGAATTGGTTTTTTAATACACCAGCTGCGTTGGGTTCTGAGTTGTTTGTTCTTAAGTATATTTTTACACCAACCAGTTGTCCGAGAAAACCACAACAATAAATGGCAACATGTTCGGAATGATACCTACATTGCTATCTACAAGGTACGTGTACATATGCATTTAACACTTATGAAACACACATATATTCTACCTGTAGCATTTATCCTTGATGATAACATATATGATGGCATATGATGCAATACAGAATATGGTGTTGTAACAACCTACTTAATAAAACATAATCTTATATACTTCTTTCATATTACCTTTCCTGGCAATCTGCCAATATATGGTGCCTATACTGCCTACCAAATACATACCTGAAAGCTACCTTTAACACACTTGTGGACTCCTGTGACCACATACTCCAATAGATACCTTGGTATTTTATACCCCCATGCGTTCTAGGCAAATCGTAGACACATCTTCTAGGCATACTCCAATAGATCATGAGTGATACCTATACTGGCTACACAAAAAGACATCGCTTTGAAGACGGCACACCATCAGACCATCCAGCGTGGATTTGAGACTGGGAGTATGGTGATAACCCAACATGGAATGGTGGTTTCAGTTCGCGCATCCGATATAGTGCTTATAATATATATATATATGTAGGACTGGATCATTTATACAATATCTGCATATGCATGTATGTTGTGCATAATATATATATATAGATGTATGGTCCTGGCCGGCGGCCGGCAATTCCTCACTGCTATCATCCCCCCCAGCAACCACCCCCATGATACCTCCATGCAGGGTTCACTACTACATATATGCCCAGAAAATCTATTTCCAGCCTATTACTGCCCATACAGTACCTTTATAGTTAACTTTTTAGTAGCCATGTGCTTAGCTACTGTCACGATCTCATATGCTACACATATGTGCTAGCCATGTACTACCCATACACTATCGACATGCTAGTGACACACTACCTAGCACCACACACCCCACACCAGGGCCAGAATGTGCAAACTATATCCTACATAGAGCCTCCTACATACAGCCTACAGGACCATGACCATGATGTCGGGTTTTTTTGGGGTTTGATCAGCCCACAAGGCCCACGTTGGTCGAAAGTTTCCCGGTTTGCCAGTTGGATCATCGAAACATCGAAACTGGGGGATATGAAAACCCTGCTCCAAGATGATTACATAGACAATAGACTACCTATACACTACATATATATATATATATTACGCATAGATTGCAAAGATAGATAAGATAAGATTCAAGTTGTCCGAATTACAGTATACTACTCTATTAAATGCATTGTAATTGACACACACGCACATATGTATGTATATATATATATATATATATGTAAACAAATTATTTGAACATATTATATATATATATTGAACACCGGTTGGAGCCTTCCAGTGCAAAAATGTAACTCCAGCCGCCCTTTCCACGTCAGGTACGAGAAGGCGATGTGGTGCTTCTGGGCACGGATGGCATCTTCGACAACCTCCATGACTGGGAGGCGGCACCAAGGGGAGTTACGAAACCTGTCAATGGGACATACCCGAGCTAAATAGAGGTTTTGGATGGTTTTGGTTTTATTACCGGAGGGTAACCAGCAAAATCTGATAAACCATCGTGGGTGTCTAACCAACCCGCCGCATCTGTCACCTTTCCAAGAGATGGCTATAGACCCCTATAAACGATTATAAACGTGGTTGTTGGTGGTTAATGAGTTACCATGGTGCTCACATAGTGATAGTGTTTTCTTTACCCACCAGTAATCAAACATGGCAATTGGACATCCCCTGCTAATGGACATTCTAAAAATAGCGTAATCATCTATGGGGTACTTTCCGTTGCGACGTTTGATTACTGGAGGGTAAGTGATTTTCAGCTCCAAAGCTCCTGAATCTTCTCAGATTGGAGGCAAACCCACTGGTTTCTTGATGAACAATGGCACATGTTCTTTTTGTTTTTGGGGTCCGCCATTCAAAGAAGACCCAGATTGAAACAAACACACACACCCTGCAACGAAAATTGCAAAAATAGATGTGGAGAAGCCACATTTATAGGTCATTTTCTTAGGGAAACCAATGTGTTTTCCACATCGATGTTAGTTCACCCCAGGGGAAACTTTGGGTGAAGATAAGACCCAGCGCTGGTCAGAGGATGAGGTACCAAGATTTGGGATCGCACAGCACACACACAAGATTTGTTTATTTTCCTCACAGCTGCTTGGTGCGTATAGATGCGTATAGTACATATAAAAACGTTTGCACATGATATGTATGTTATGTTGTATGTACACATGTACGTGTGTATATACATTTGTATTATACACACACCCACGCGCGCGCTTTCACGTCCCATTTTGGTAGACTAATCTATGTACTGCTTTCTGGTTATTGGTTTGAAAGACTCAACAGATGAGATGATGATACCGGTGGCTCAGCCACTAATCCGAATATTGTTGATTTATTCGCACAGATCTCAAAGCTTGGCTGGTTATATCCATGTATTTTGGGATGTGAACATAATTAGTTCTTAGACATGACATCAGGTCCGTCAGGTGTACCCCAAGGTCTGATATAGGATGACCCAAGGCAAAAGACGGATTATGACGGAAGGCAGGAAATCGACCTGGGGACCCACTGGGGGAAAAGACAACCTTTAGATCGTAATCCCCATTTCTGCGACGTGGATTGACAATATATACATGGATCCAAGAACGTATATAAATTACAAACCCAAAGTCATAATCCAAGTATTATAAATAATGTATGTGACATCCCTCAAACAATCAACTTGGAAATGAATTAGACACATGGATTGAAATGGTTAATTCAGATCCACTTGATATGGCTGACACCAAAATTTCCAGCGCCCTCTGACTAGATCTGCGAGTTGGCCACGGTCGCCATGGAGGTGGACTAAAGGGGTTTATCCGGGTCACAAGACATCACTTGGTGTGAATGGTGGTTTCATGTAAATCAACGCAAACAATACCCCCTGGTTACGACTAACATAGCCATGGTATAGATGGCCCATTTAGTTTGATGCTTTACCTATTAATTAGTAGCATTTAATAGCATGGTGTTTTTCCATGGCTATGTTAAATGACCAGATGGTAGTTTGTGATTCGACATGGTGGTTTCCTAAAATGGGGGGTACCCCCAAATCATCCATTTTAATAGGATTTTCCAGTGTAAACCATCCAGCTACTGGGTACCCCCATTTATGGAAACCTTCATGGTGTTTGCTTTTGGTTTGGGATTAGTTTTGGGATTTAAATCTCGGGGGTCATTGATGTGTTCAGGTCATAGTTTTTGCCTAGCTTCTAGCCGTGGGCTTTGGAGTGACCAAAACAGTGACCAGGACAGGGTGAAACCCGAATTGAGGTAGAACCGGCATTTTTCTATTGTCTTTATCGCACCCAACGTGGAATGAAATTATCAAATTTGGGCCCATGCCCATCCATCCTATATCCACCTTGCACTATATCAGACTAGATTTTACTGGAATGGATTTTCTGGGCGCCGATAGTTATCCCTTTGTTCCCATTGGCAGAGCCCATGGCAATTTGGATATCCATGGCTGGGATCCTGAATAAACTCTACCGACTGTCTTGGTCATGATTCCAAACAAAAGATATTTACCAGCCATGCTTAGTCAGTTATTTCCTGTTTTTAGGATTCTAATTGAGTTGTCTCTATGATTTGGAGTTATACCACATGTTCTGCGAGTCAAATTCTCATTTTGTTTTGGTTGACTCTACCCGCCCATTGACGTGGATTTGCACCGATCAATATCAAAATCCATGAAAACGTCCATGAATCCCCTCGCAACATATCGCAACCAATTCAATTCCATGAAAACCAATTAAGCCAATCAAAACCCATGAAATTAATCCTCAATTTCTGCTGATTAAATCTCCAAGAAATATCCAATACAGAATCCACCTGCCTTCGTCCAGGGCGGTGACAAAATTGAGCCGCACAAGTAGGGGAGTCCCAGCAGCAACTCTGGAGCCTGGGCAACGTGCCGAGTTCGCGAATGGATGATCCCAAAACATGGTGTTTGGTGAACGTTTCTGTACGTTTCTCCCAAACATATGTCAGAAGTTCTTAAGAACGATGCTTGGCTTGGTTTTTTCATGTCTTACTTCGGACTGTACGATGTATGTACCTAATTTAAGTCAAGGAAGAACATGGGAATTCAACCAAGTATATAGCATGAGCATCGGATAACTTGGTTTTTCCCTTCCAATAGTAGATCATGAAGGGCAATGAGGGGCCGATATCTATATGAAGTGATCCTGGTGAAGGCTGAGCGGGTTCGATCATAGCTATGCTAAATCCATCTAAATCCTATGTGTGGCGTGTGGTTGATCCAACTCTCTTGAAAGGTGACTCAGGTTGTCCGGCTGCTTGTCGCCACTGCCATGTCAGGCTGGCACACGCCTTCGCAGAGGCAGCTTTTGTTCGATCCCAGGACGGTTTGTTTTATTGAATCCCCCCCGGCAGTGCCCGTGAGACCAGTGGCTTTTGTTCCATGAGAATTTATGGCCGAAGAACCAGCAAAATGATGTTAGACTGTTAGACCATAGGATGAAATCAATGGGATTTTCTTCCACATTTAAGACAAACACGTGGAGTGAATGGTGGTAGTTACCATGTGCCATGCGGATGTTTGTGGCCGAGCTCCCTAGTTCCTTTTCCATGCATACCTCGAACCGCAAGTAGAAAAAGAACAAGAACTCCGTGTATTTGAAAGGGTTATGGGGATGTATTGAAAGGATATATTGTTCACTGTTTATATATGTTTAATCCCCACACATCCGCAAACATATATTTCTTGTGTATTGGTATAAACTGTTCAAAGTAGTATTTCGAACGACTATTCCCACTAGTTTTCGACCAAACATTTGGTGGCCCAATGCACCAACCACCAGGACCCAAAGGCACAGACCCCGTTCCAAGATAGTGCCAGTCAGCACAACCTTAGGTAGCTTGGCTTGCAGGAGCGGCTTTTTGTTCGACGACAAATGGGATAAACATAATTGGAAGAACGAGTGGACTTATGGTGGATATGATATACATATATAATTATACATATATAATTATACATATATATATATATATATCATTATATATATAAATATACATATATGATTATACATATATATATATTCATAAAAAAACACATATACTGTAATTGTACATATATAATTATATATATAATTTTACATATATAAATATAAATTTATACATATATATATATATATAAATGCACTTAATTGTACATATATATATATATATAATTATATATATATATTTATATATAATTATATATATAATTATACATAATAATATACATATATATATATATTTATATCCTTGTACATTAACATATAATATGATTGAGTTTAAGAACAACTTATAACTGAGTGGACCCAGCTTGCATGCGCATTGCACACGTAACGACCAAACCGGATGCCAAACATCGTGCCATGATCAAGTTACATGGCTCCTCTTATCTCTTTTTTTCAGAAAAAATAAATTGTCATCCCCTCATTTTCACAGGGATATGCTATACCCATTCATTTTAGGTACCCCTTCATGATGGTGGGATGACCAGGGACCCCATGAAGATCCCATGAACCGCTTGACCGCTTGACCATGCTTGACCATGGCACCTTACTTTGCAAAGCGCTGAGTCGCTGAGGCTTGAAATGGAGGATCTAATGTTAGATTGAAGCTACCCTCCGGTAATCAAACAGTCACGGCTGGGAAATAATCGAATCACTGGGGATTTCTGTTTCCGTTGCCTCGTTTCATTCCCGGAATGTATGATGTGGTGGAAGATGTCACCTGAGCTTTGGATGTAAAGTGTGAGCCTGAAGTGCATGGTGTTGCTTGCAAGATGTACTGAGAGGTTGGGTTGGAAGATGCGCTGTGAGATTACCGTTTTTGTTTGGGTGGTCTTGATGTCTAAATCTATGTCATACCTTGTTTTCCTTTTCTAATCGCAGACCACAGACCTTTTTACATCTTGTCTGACCTCATCTCACTCGATCTTATCTCATCTCATATCGTCTCCTCGTCTCCTTGTTCATCTTATCTCATCTTATGACATCCACTCTCATCCTGTCCCAAAGGTATTTTCTGCTCTTTTCCATTTTGTTTTATTCTCATCCCATCTCATCTCATTTTATCTGATACAACCCTCTGTTATTTTTCATCAAACATGGCAATGGGCAACGCACGGGACAGTTGCCCAAATTGCCATGTTGGATTACCCTGTGGGGTATCCGCTGAGCATCTTTTCTCGTCCGAGTGTGAGATGCAATCTTTTCTGATAGCCCCTTATGTATCCTGATGTTTTGTGTCCTTTGATTTATCTCGCAGGTTCTTATTGCATATATATATATTATATATGTATAACATATTCGTCTCATCTCATCACATTGTCTCATGCCAAGTTGATCCAAAAACGAGCTTGTCAGTTGCTTGCAAAGCAGCATAGAGACACGCGCAGAGCCAAAGCAACTAGGGATGTTCACGCAGCCATTCCACAGAGATTTGCAGCGAGAGTTGTGAAACAAGATTTTGATTCACAAACTTGTGTTTGAAAATAGCAGTAGAATTGTTTGTCTCTACAAAAGTGGCTCACAAGAGTACACCTTCTGTTGCGATGTTTCAGAAACGTAGATGACACGATGAATCCGCCTGAAGCACAGGTTTGTCTTCGGGGAACCGCCAAGTAGCTCCGTGGACTGCTATCCTACGGTGATGAATGTCGATATGTGGTGTAAGATGCAGCCTGAGTTTGACGAAATGTACGTAACATGATTCAAAATGTAGTGTAAGGGTTTATTTTTTACGGAATTATGTAATTTGAAGTTGGGGAAACTGAATATAGTGGGAATTTGGCAATTCTCAGGATTATGCGAGTCTAGGTTAGTTCCAACGATTTTTTTTCTGAAATCTGAAGTTGTTTATTGTAATAACTGGAAAGTGATTGGTAATTTGAAGTTGCATGACATTTGCAATATTTGTATGATGATGATGATGATGATCATGATGATGATGCTGATGTTTGCGTAATTTGTATGTGTTGAAACCTTTTCAAAGGTCAAAATTAAGTGTAAGTAGATGTTCATTGTATGTCAAAATTTGGTCTAACGCGACGGTGTTTGTAGTTCGATGTGATTGCAGTTTGTTTTGATACATGCAAATTGGAGGTATTAAGACATGAAGTTGGTGGTAGTGCAATTTGAAACTGATTGCATTTTGAAGTTTATTTTGAAACTGATGCAATTTGCCTGTCCTTGAGTCGGAAAATTGAAGATTGTTTTAAATTTCCCTTGATAGTCGTTGATATGTATAGTGACGGACAATCACTTAGAACGTAATTTTTTTTTCCATTTTTTTTTCGTACTTAGAACGTAGCAAAATTTCATCACTTAGAACGTAGGGAAAATTCATCACTTAGAACGTCAAAATATCACTTAGGCCCATTTATCACTTAGAACGTAAACCAACACTTAGAACGTGCTAAGTGATTGTCCGTCGCTATATAAACTATTTTTTCGATTTCAAAATCAATTAAATTTCTTTATATAGCGCAATTAAACATATTGCCAAAAATTGGATTTCGAAGCGGACCCTAATAATAAATTTAGACCCTTAATAAAGCGGCTATTTTTTTCGACTTCAAAATCAATTAAATTTCCTTATATAACGCAATTAAAATATTGCCAAAAATTGGATTTCGAAGCGAATCCTAATAATAAATTTAAACCCTTAATAAAAAGACTAGTTTTTTCGATTCAAAATCAATTAAATTTCCTTTTATAACGCAATAAGACTATTGCCAAACACTAGAGTTCGAAGCGGACCCTAATAAATTTAAACCCTTAATAAAACAAAACTATTTTTTTCGATTCAAAACCAATTAAATTTCCTTATATAGCGCAATTGAAATATTGCCACAAATTGGATTTCGATGCGGACCTAAATAATAAATTTAAACCCTTAATAAGAAAAACCGTTTTTTTCGATTTCAAAATCAGGTAAATTTCCTTATAACACAATTAAAATATTGCCAAAAATTGGATTTCGAAGCGGATCCTAATAATAAATTTAAACCCTTAATAAAAAGACTAGTTTTTTCGCTTTCGAAATCAATTGAATTTCCTTTTATAACGCAATTAAAATATTGCAGAAAATTGGAATTCGAAGTGGAATCGAAATTATGTCTAGGTTTCCTATACGGAATTAGCTGCTGAATCCAACACTTAGAACGTCAGAACCCCTAAAAAGCACCAAAAGGTATAGTGTTCCAGAGATAAAAGATCACCAATATTTGCAAATCATATGGGAGGGAAAAGCCAAATGGTACGAAATTATGTCTATGTTTCCTCGGAATTAGCTGCTGAATCCAACACTTAGAACGTCAGAACCCCCAAAAAGCACCAAAAGGATCCAAAAGGTAGAGTGTTCCAGAGATAAAAGATCGCCAATTTGCAAATCATATGGGAGGGAAAAGCCAAATGGTACGAAATTATGTCTATGTTTCCTACGGAATTAGCTGCTGAATCCAACACTTAGAACGACAGAACCCCCAAAAAGCACCAAAAGGATCCAAAAGGTAGAGTGTTCCAGAGATAAAAGATCGCCAATGTTTGCAAATCATATAGGAGGGAAAAGCCAAATGGTACGAAATTATGTCTATGTTTCCTACGGAATTAGCTGCTGAATCCAACACTTAGAACGTCAGAACCACCAAAAAGCACCAAAAGGTATAGTGTTCCAGAGGTAAAGACCGCCAAGATTTGCAAATCATATGGAGGGAAAAGCCAAATGGTACGAAATTATGTCTATGTTTCCTACGGAATTAGCTGCTGAATCCAACACTTAGAACGTCAGAACCCCCAAAAAGCACCAAAAGGATCCATAGAGTGTTCCAGAGATAAAAGATCGCCAATATTTGCAAATCATATGGGAGGGAAAAGCCAAATGGTACGAAATTATGTCTATGTTTCCTACGGAATTAGCTGCTGAATCCAACACTTAGAACGTCAGAACCCCCAAAAAGCACCAAAAGGGGTAGTGTTCCAGAGATAAAAGATCGCCAATATTTGAACATCATATGGGAGGGAAAAGCCAAATGGTACGAAGTTATGTCGGCTTAAAATGTCATTATAGTGTTCCACCAATATTTGCAAATCATATGGGAGGGAAAAGCCAAATGGTACGAAATTTGTCTAGCTGTGAATCCAACACTTAGAACGTCAGAACCCCCAAAAAGCACCAAAAGGTATAGTGTTCCAGAGGTAAAGATCGCCAATATTTGCAAATCATATGGGAGGGAAAAGCCAAATGGTACGAAATTATGTCTATGTTTCCTACGGAATTAGCTGCTGAATCCAACACTTAGAACGTCAGAACCCCCAAAAAGCACCAAAAGGATCCAAAAGGTATAGTGTTCCAGAGATAAAAGATCGCCAATGTTTGCAAATCATATGGGAGGGAAAAGCCAAATGGTACGAAATTATGTCTATGTTTCCTACGGAATTAGCTGCTGAATCCAACACTTAGAACGTCAGAACCCCCAAAAAGCACCAAAAGGATCCAAAAGGTAGAGTGTTCCAGAGATAAAAGATCGCCAATATTTGCAAATCATATGGGAGGGAAAAGCCAAATGGTACGAAATTATGTCTATGTTTCCTACGGAATTAGCTGCTGAATCCAACACTTAGAACGTCAGAACCCCCAAAAAGCACCAAAATGGTATAGTGTTCCAGAGATAAAAGATCGCCAATATTTGCAAATCATATGGGAGGGAAAAGCCAAATGGTACGAAATTATGTCTATGTTTCCTCGGAATTAGCTGCTGAATCCAACACTTAGAACGTCAGAACCCCCAAAAAGCACCAAAAGGATCCAAAAGGTATAGTGTTCCAGAAATAAAAGATCGCCAATATTTGCAAATCATATGGGAGGGAAAAGCCAAATGGTACGAAATTATGTCTATGTTTCCTACGGAATTAGCTGCTGAATCCAACACTTAGAACGTCAGAACCCCCAAAAAGCACCAAAAGGATCCAAAAGGTATAGTGTTCCAGAGATAAAAGATCGCCAATGTCAAATCATATAGGAGGGAAAAGCTAAATGGTACGAAATTATGTCTATGTTTCCTACGGAATTAGCTGCTGAATCCACCACTTAGAACGTCAAATCCCCAAGAAGCACCAAAAGGTAGAGTGTTCCAGAGATAAAAGATCGCCAAGATTGGCAAATCATATGGGAGGGAAAAGCCGAATGGTACGAAATTATGTCTATGTTTCCTACGGAATTAGCTGCTGAATCCAACACTTAGAACGTCAGAACCCCCAAAAGCACCAAAAGGTATAGTGTTTCAGAGATAAAAGATCGCCAATGTTTGCAAATCATATAGGAGGGAAAAGCCAAATGGTACGAAATTATGTCTATGTTTCCTACGGAATTAGCTGCTGAATCCAACACTTAGAACGTCAGAACCACCAAAAAGCACCAAAAGGTATAGTGTTCAAGAGGTAAAGATCGCCAATTCAATATTTGCAAATCATATGGGAGGGAAAAGCCAAATGGTACGAAATTATGTCTATGTTTCCTACGGAATTAGCTGCTGAATCCAACACTTAGAACGTCAGAACCCCAAAAAGCAACAAGGATCAAAAGGTATAGTGTTCCAGAGATAAAAGATCGCCAATATTTGCAAATCATATGGGAGGGAAAAGCCAAATGGTACGAAATTATGTCTATGTTTCCTACGGAATTAGCTGCTGAATCCAACACTTAGAACGTCCCAAAAAGCAACAAAAGGATCCAAAAGGTATAGTGTTCCAGAGATAAAAGATCGCCAATATTTGCAAATCATATGGGAGGGAAAAGCCAAATGGTACGAAATTATGTCTATGTTTCCTACGGAATTAGTTCCTGAATCCAACACTTAGAACGACAGAACCCCCAAAAAGCAACAAAAGGATCCAAAAGGTATAGTGTTCCAGAGATAAAAGATCGCCAATGTTTGCAAATCATATAGGAGGGAAAAGCCAAATGGTACGAAATTATGTCTATGTTTCCTACGGCATTAGCTGCTGAATCCAACACTTAGAACATCAGAACTCAGAACCCCCAAAAAGCACCAAAAGGTATAGTGTTCCAGAGATAAAAGATCGCCAATATTTGCACATCATATGGGAGGGAAAAGCCAAATGGTACGAAATTATGTCTATGCTTCCTACGGAATTAGCTGCTGGATCCAACACTTAGAGATAAAAGATTTCACAAGCCTTTCCACTATCATCAGTGACCTAGACACGTTCTAAGTGTTAAATCCCCGGTACGTTCTAAGTGATGAATCTTGATATTTGGACGTTCTAAGTGTATGGTTTTCGACGTTCTAAGTGCAAGGCTTAGAACGTAAAAAAAGCAGTAATATTCAGATTTTTTTTCCAAAATACGTTCTAAGTGATTGTCCGTCACTATAATTTTTAGGCGCAAATTCCTCAAGAAACTTGGCACTTTGTTTGATCTGCAATGTGTGAGCCAAAACTCATTGGTAGCTAAGCACACTGATTTTTCATAGTTGTAACATGTTGTGAACCATGCAGCATTTGGGAAACCAACTTTAGACACCCATAATCTAGCTCAATATCCCAGTTGTCCCTTGTGTGGTAAATTTACCTGCCTTTCCGATGGCCCCCTATTAAAGGCACCCACCTACATACGGGACCCAAACATGAACAGGTTCTATTGTCTCAACTTGACTCAACCATTGTAGGATGGGGTTGGTCATTCCCAAATCTCTGGAATCTTTGCAATCCATGAGTCAGCAAGGAAATTTCACATGAAAAACCCGCAAGTAAAACGAAATCACTAGGTTTTCTTCGTGAGATCGATATTGGATGTGGCTCAAAAATTCAGATTGACCTTCGACCTGCATATCTGACGACTGTGTATCTTGAATCTTGAACCATCCCACACTTGAGGAGATCCATTGTTGTTGATGGTTCGAGTCATTTTGGTCGAAATGTTTGTTGTTCATGACGGTCATGACCTCCAATTTTGGGGATCATGAAATTATGGGCCCAGATTCCATCCCTGACCTGAGGATGCCTGGCGGCAAGATGGATGACATCACTGTAGTGGCCTGTGTGGTCACATCGTGATGTTCTTTGCGCTGGGCGAAGATCCACTTGGAGACATTTTTAAACATGACTTCAAATCACGACGTCACTGGAATGGTTACAATAACAAAAAACAAAGGTTTGCATTAATGTGCATCATTAGACGCGTGTACAGTTTATCTCTTATTAGATTTCTATGACGCAGAAAATCAGAAAGTAATGTAGTTTTACAATACCAATGTTGTGGCATTGGTATTCTGCAACCGGGCTGTTGAGAGCGTCATGCTATACTGTATGAATTTTGTTAGTGGTTGAACCGGGCCCCTTATTTACATGTTTGTTGGGATCATCGTTTGCAGTTTTGAATCAAAGATGGCCATGCATGTCTTATCTTATGGATCTTCCCCAGGATCTTCCTCCAAATTTTATTTGGAATGCATTATAAAATTGGGCCAGGATTCGTGCAGAATCCAAGGGCCCTGATACTCGACGGTTGAAAGCTCAACATGCCCAACATTTCTGACTTTGCATGCCTTAGCGAAACTTCTAGAGATCATCGATCATGACAAGCATTAGATCATATTAGATCATTAGGAGAACATCCCCGTGATTTTCGGCTTTGGGAATTACACATTGATGTATTGTTGTCCAATATCATGATGTTGTTTGGTGTATTTGATATTGTTTGTTCGATGTAATTCCCCAAAAAGGGACCCCGCAACAAATGCGAGAGTTGACAGCCCATAGCCTAATCTCATCCATCATTGTGACTGCATGAGTTTAAGTCAGTGGATTATATTCGCAGAATCAGAATTTGAGTGTTTTTTTGAGGTTACATAAAGATTCAAGTCAATAGGATGCTCCATATTTTGTCCCACTATAGTTCATCAATGTTCATCATTTTGTCATGAAATAGCCACAACTGAGCAGTGTTCAAGCCCCCTCTGGTCCCGGTTGGAAAGAAACGCTTCTTCAAGGGACGACCTTGTGGCGAGCACCTCTCAACTGGGGCATCAAAAACTGTTGGGTGCACCTTGAGCGAAGCCAATGCATAGAAATTAGTACCATAGCACGGTGCAGTTGACCGCTGAAAGCGCAGCTGTACAGCGTGCCTTCTCTTTTAGGCACAGACCAAGGACAGCCCCAAAGTGGCGGAAGACTGGAGGCACCCCAAGAACCAAACCTTTCGTCGTGAAGGGGATGGGTGTGTTTAACGGGGTATCATGTTTAACATGCCCCTTAACCATTTTAATCGGAAAGCTGATGATATACCAATAAATGTCTGTTGTGCCATATTTTCGCACAAGGCCACTTGTCTTTTTTCCATGATCTCCCAATTTTTGGGGCGACCATTTTGAGTCAAACACCTGGGGGACTCGCCATAAACCACACTCCATTCACCGAAATTTCTATATAGACATTTATATAATAACTAGATCATGTTAGATCAGTGCAAATTGGGTACTAAGACACTAAGAACTGATTCTAGAAAGGTTGGTTTGCGGAGCCGCCAAACAACCAGCTTCAAGCGCTGTTTGGGAGGAGTTTGTGTGTCGCAGATCCATCGCAGGGGCAGAAACATGGTGGGCTATGACCAATAAAAACATAGAGAGGCATGGATGCATTGCAATCCGGAAACCAAAGGGATTATCGCGATTTTTGGCCTTAAAAAGTAAGGATTGAACAAACAAACATAGGGTTGGCCGGCACAAGGTCAAAACATGGGGTGTGTGGCCAAGAAAACAGGGATGGACACATAATACACAAATAACATGTTTCTGGTTTAACCATGAAGACCTCAATTTCAGAACGGTCCCAGGGTCATGTTTTTTCGTCACGGGGAATCAGCATCCCAATCCATCCCATTTGTTGGGCATCCCAGTTGTTCTGAACGATCACAGCTGAGCCAGAGTGTGAACGTGCTAATGTGGTAAACCTCCCATTAGCAACTAGCAAATAGATGCAAATAGTAACTGTTCAGGTTAACCCGTCCCTTTTATCAACAAACTGCATTTGTCTAGCGTTCATGTTTTTCGGCCTCCACACTCCTCTTGAGGCTTGGGGGATCCGCTCCCAACTGCTCCCGGCAGGTGCCCCCCATCCAGGGGATAAAGCATCCACAGGGGCTTTCCAGACAACGTTTTTGGCGCTTCGCAACCGGTCAGAATATTCCCCAGTAAAACAAGCGGTGCAACCCTTTGTAGACTGCAAAAAACAAGGATTTCAGGATTTCACTCAAGTAGCAATTTATGGCATGAAGTTTGATTATCATGGGATAATCATCTTTATAATGGGATTATATGCCAATCATAAACATATATGAATTGAGCGAGTTTTTGTCCCTGCCCACTTGTAGATCCGGCGAGCTGCCGCGTGCTGTTTTTGTTTGAACTGCAAAGTGGCGTTAAAAAAGGGGTCCGCTGAAATCCAAGGAAAGCACTTGACAGTCATTGAATTTTGGGACGCCCTGAAACTGGGGGCTCAACTAGGAAATCTATCAATCAATTAAATGGGCCCTATCGATGTTTCCATCATCAACAAATGGATACAAATGGGATCAAATGGGATTCAACCATCAACCAAATGAACAAAATGAGTTTTCACTATCAACATATTCACCAGGATTTTTCAGATTAGCAACGATGCCCACTGGGTCTTGTGGAGGATGGTGTTTTTTTGGGGGGATCAGCCGGACCACCTGCTCTCATTGGGCCAACTTGGGAAGTTACCAGGATGGGCTCAACGACTCAACCACCAGGTAAGCAGAATCGCGCAGAATAAATTTGGACAGAATCGACCATTATAGGAGTGTTGTTTTATGGTTAAAACAATGTCATAAACCACGTCGCATGTTTGATTGTTTTTCTACCAGCCCTCTGAAATTATGGTGAACTTGGGGATGGTTTATTATTGTTTTAACACGTTTTAACCACGTTACTTTGTTCGGATCCTTAAGCTATCTACCGGGCACTGTCGAATGTTGGGCGGAAGGAAACTGCGCAACGTGCCACGAGGCCATGATGCAATGCCACTGGCGTTTTTGAGCGATGCGGGCAGGTGATGGACAAGTTCAATATACTGTTTCTAAACATTCTAAACCTGAAAGTCTGGATATTGATATATGATGATAGATGAAACACTAAGAGAAATTCTGGATCTGGATGAAGAAAAGAGAAACCAGAGATTTCACTTTGGATTTCCTTTGTTGGAAGCGACACATGCATGACCTGTCCTTTTTGGTGGAGGTTTTCCAGAATGCGCAGCAACCTCGTTTCACAGTGCAAGCTAAACAACATGTTTCTGCCTCAGAATAGCCCCTGGATATCCAAATGACTCACTTTTCCTGGTTGAATTGTGGATTATCACCACCAAAGCGGTAAAATGAGTCGGTTTACCAAAAGGGTATAAGGGTAGTGTCAGGGGTCAGCGGGACATTTTCGCTGTTGTGGAGCCACGCGAAAGCCCAAGATGTTGCAATTCTTAGCATGGAGCATCACGTTGTGCAATCAGACATGAGGCCTATCAAAACAAAATCCTGATTCTGCATAAATCCATATAGTTTTTCTGTTTCTGGGTGATATTAATGATATTAAATGATTGCAACTTATTTCCATCCTACCTATGATAACCCAACTTGCCACACACGCACACATTACCGGGAGAGATTTTGAATTACAACTTGACCAACCTGAGGGTCAACATCTCAGTTTGAAGCTTGGACAAGCGCATTTCAGGCGTTGTCCGCATGCAAGGATCGATCATATTGTCCGAAAAGCAGTGTCTGAAATGAACTTCAGGAGATACTGTGGATGGAAGAAATCCTGCATCACCTTGGATGGTTGAAACCTTATAAATAATGGGAATATAATGGGATAAACCACCTATCGGTGCAGGCTTTCTTCTATCCACCGTATCTTCAGGTAGACCGAGGCGATTTTGGTAGATGTTTCTGGATTCACTGCCGCTGTCCATCACCGGATACGGCTGGACAGTGTGGATGTGGGTTGGGAATCTTGATACCTCCTTCTTCAACAGCAAACAATGCGTTTTGGATTGGATCACAAGTTGAAGTATTGTGGACCAATAGACAGCAGCTATGTCTTCAGGGTTGAGATACCTGCTACCAGAAAATTATTACTGTATATAGTTTGCCATCAGACTTGTGACATATTGTGATCCAAGTCTCCGTCCATCTCCGTCCAATGCCCGAAATGGCTCACAGGTATACTATCCACAAGCCACAGGTGAGCAAGTTTCAAAGCCAGTTGTGACATGTTGTCACTTGGGCGCACGCCTTGACCATGGAAAATGACAACGACTTCTTTCATGATCTATCACCCATCACCCCCAGCTTAAAAATTAGCACATCAGCCAGAAAAAAAAACATGTGTGCGCAGCGACTGTGGACCATGGTGGTGCATCTTTGACCTTTTCCAAGGTGCAAAGGGCAGTGCAGGTGTTTGGATCTGGTTCATCTTTACGACTGGGACATTCCTGTATGATATACAAATTGATTTACTATGAAAATAATGTGTATAGTATTATTATTATTATACAATATTATCTGGTTGGTGGTTTGGAACATGTATTTTATGACTTTCCATAATATATTGGGAATAATGATCCCAATTGATGAACTCATATTTTTCAGAGGGGTAGGTCATAATTATGGTATGGTTCGTGTTTACACATGAATTTTGTCTGCCTCGAAGCACGGCATTCGTACAAGCCATTCGCTTGTTGGACGGCGCTGCATTCCACTTACTGGAAAAAAACACAGCTGCTATTGAAAATGGCCATTGAGTTCGTTGATTTACCTATGAAACATGTTTTTTTTCTACAGCAAACTGTTAGTTTTCTAGAGGGTAGATGGCTTATGAGCTTTTAACCCAAACCCATTATTTCGGTGGTCGCCGAACTGTAGGGCTTTTGAGGGTCGAGAAGTGTGAAATCACAGCATGTCTTGGTGAAAGTCTTGATGCTAGTCAATCATCGAGTGGTAGTTAATGGTAGTCGTAAATTCCTATCAAAATGGGACTGTCAATACTCAGGAGAATGGAAGTTTTGCAACCTTTGC